GGTTTTTTAATATTTTCAACAGTTTTTATTGAGGATTAGAAACAAAAAGAAATAAAAACCGACATTTCGACACCAAGATTCAAAATAAGATTGCCTACATAACGCGTATCAACATCGCCACTTCATATTTAAAAAAAAAACAAAAATGCGCCGCTTCGCTGACACCTCCACTGCACTCTTTGTGATGTTGAACCAAAATAACCAAAATATAACAAAAATCATAATTGTAGAAAATATGCATACAAGTAAATACAATTGGAGGCTCTAGCTCTTAAGCCGTACGAGATGTAAATTAGAATGAAACTAGAATAAAACTGGAATAGTTATCGAATATTAGAAAACTTGATATGCGTGTGCTCTACAAGGACCTACAAAAAAAAATTCAAGTCTCTTATATGCACAAAACCATTAATACCCTGACTTCCCATTTTCAATGGAATCAGAGTATAAAAAGTGAAAGTGCTCTAGTAAAGACCTCTCTGAACCCCGCGAAGGGATGATATTCCAATCATTATACAGTTGTTAGCAATTAACACAGGCACACACATACACACACGTACGCAGCGCAGCTTGCGCTGCAGTACTGGATGTATGGAGACTTAATTGTTGATAACTTTTCTTCTAGATGGACTTTTTTATTCAGATCATGGTAATGACATTCATAAGTATGTATTTGCGAAAACATAAGTTTTTAGTATTTGAAATACGGTTTTTGCAAATTTGTGGGGAAAAATATTTAATTAAAAATGTTTTATTTTAAATGTATGTAAGTGGCATAAGGATGCACGGCCGCAGGTATAAACGCTCCGATGTCCGAACGTGTAAGAGCTAGAGTCTTGCAATTGTTTTTGTCTGTCCCTATATAGCACGAGTAAATGTGTTTCAAATAATCGTTTTATTTTAACCTCGGAGTTGCTACTTACACCAATGCAGAGAAGTGCCGGCTTTGGTAGTATGAAAGAGATGATGCGTGTGGTCATGGAGTTATCTACTTCATATAGAATTTGTTCGACAGCATACAAGAAGCGACGGCGATGGTAGTGGCGGTGCTCGTGGATGCGAATTCGAATTATAGGGGAAATTTTTTTTTCCATAAGTGTTTTTTAACAGATTCTTTTTATACTGAACGTATTTACTAGTCGGGTATTAACTACTAAAGAAAAATATTAATCAAGGTATGTTGCCCAGCTTAATTAGCTAGGGAGACAAAGTGTACCTTATTCATTATTTAAAGCTCTATTTTAGTTACATGAAAAACTTTAATTTTTATCAATAAAATACCCAAAATAATAAGATGGGTTAACCTGTGACGGTTATTTTGCTACTGCATCTAAGTTATGTGTCCTCTCTTATGCTGCTTTACGACGAAGCAAAATGCCGAGTAATGCAAAACAACAGTAATATAAAATATGTAGTCCCTTATACGAATTCCTTCCGTGGCATTTTCTGCTTCAAATATTTGTCGTGCACACACATTGCAGAAGAGTCACATTTACTGAGCTATGCTTCAGGTAGTACGAACCGTGGCTACCTATGTTTGTCGTCATATTGAAAATATTCACGAAAAGCTTGTAAACTTCGTGCACCCTCATAGCTTTCTAACGGGTAAGGGGCTGGGGCTTGAGGTTTCGCCGCTGGTCACGCTGACAGAGCTTATTATGGTTTGCGTGGGTGCTTTCAATGTTTTCAAAATTCACTTCACGCAGGAATTCCTTTTGTTCTTATAACATATTTTTGTAAAATATTATAAGTATATTCTTGTACGCCCATTGCTAACACGTTTGCATAGACATAGATACAAATATTTTGTGTCCTGCAGATGGAACATTGTCACTTGATAGCACACACATCACTTCAAATGGTTTCTTTTTTCACAGTCACTTAAATTTCCTCAATGACAATGTCAGTAAATAGTCCCATAGACATGATAAATCGTTTAATATTAGACTGTGTTCATATCTTAGCGTGCGTCAATCGAAAGTGTTTGTCTTCTTTTCTCAGCAAACACATTAAACGGCACCTAATACAATGAAAACTTACTTATCTGAGAACATATATGTACACATATGAAAACAAAGATACTCATATGTACATATATAATGAAGTTCAATTTACTGTTGAGTGAGTTTTGAGCCCTCTTTGCACATAATTACAGATAAAAAAAGAGTGAGCCCGATCAATTGCGCTTACTCGTTTTCAAAGGTATCCGTTAAGTATAAAAAATCTAACCATGAAAATAGTATAGTTAAAATAAAAAATGCTACAAATTTGTACACAACAATTTCATTTTTAATATTATATTTCAATTGACAATACAAATTGAGCTTGAATTCAGAAAATCGCGTTACGAATACATCTAGTGGTATTTTTATATTAGTAGATATGATATTTTGAGTTTTTTCTCTTCATATATAATACGTTCTATATAATCTTATCTTTCTATAAAATAACTATTATATGTAAACAGATAATTAGATTATGTTATACGAAATTCCAATTGGTTTATGTTGATTCGCTTACTTATACAAAAGTATTATAAAACATTAGTTATTATTTTTGTATGTGAGCATGATTGATCTACTATTTTAAAATTCGTTATTCGATTGAATGCCATCTCAGTCTAATAATTAAAAATACTGATAATTAATTGATAGTAAATGCAGCATCGCACATATTTATAAATATATTAAAGATATTTCTTGTCTTCTAATTGTTAGTTACTTACTCTATATTTAAGTTTATGAAAAACACAATTTCCAAATTCGAAATAATAATAGTATGACATCTAACTTGAGATGTATTCTCTTGTTCTTTTTTAATAATTTATTCTTCGTAGGTTTCGTTCAGGATATTTTGTGAGTTACACGTGGATCAACAGCGGACAAATTTAAGTTGATATTGCCTCTTTTAAACAAAGACCACGTTATCAAGTTTTAGAAGATATAAAATAAGAAAGCCATAAAATTGACACACAAATTAATCTGTTAGTTTGATTTGATATGTTAACAATTTTATAAATAATAAGGTTTTTGGAGGTATTATAAGCATACCTATATAACTAGTTATTATGATGTCTTTTTACTTTTTGTTAGTGTCACAGTTTTATTAATTACTCTCATACATTATATTTGGCATTATCTATTCGTTGCATGAACATATAATGTTATAAGAACAAATAAAGATTTCTAATTAAAGTTATTTTAATAATGTAGAGACGTTATAGCTACAATTCACTTATTTCGAAATTGCAAGTACAACTTAAAATACCATTGAGATGACAAAGTACTTATAATATTTTAATAAATGTGAGTAAGAAATCGTTCATTTTGTTTAATTGCCGTGAACTTGATTTTTATACGATTCTTAAATACGAAATGTCAGATATGAAAAAAAAATTTACACATTAAAAATATTCATGTTACATAAAAATGTAAAGGGTTCCAATGCTAAAAACACAAATCAATTATTAAAAGAAAAAATGCATTTTGATTGGTTAACTGAGGAGCGAATATCTAAGCAAGTAAAAAGGTTGCAGTCGGGAGTTGCGTAATACTCATTCACGGCCTAAGCGCTCCCAGCCATTAGAATATATATTTTCTCCGATTTGCCACAGCCTCAAGAGGCTTATAAATAAATATTTTTCAGTTTTTGTCCTTTATGTCGATTTTTCACAGTAGGCAAGACAAAGACTTTTTAGCCTAAGACGGACTAACGGACCTTATGTGCATAGCTATATAATCTATATATCTGTTTAGATGCGTGTTACACTCACAAATATAAAATCTATCAGAATACGTATAACGCTCCCAGTAGACTCAAGTTTATAATTTTTTCGATAATCTGTATTAACAGTTAATCCCATGCCAAGTTTTGAGCTCTCACTTTCAAAAAATAGATGAGTCAGTTTTACCAACTATATGTATATTCCAAATTTCAAGTCGCTATTACTTTATTGGCGTATCAGGAAATGGTATCCCAGAGAATATACTCATGTCTTTAGCCTCAATAGCTACTAAATAGTTGGCATTCATTCGGACAGACGGGCAAAAAGCAAGACAAATGAGTATACAAATACTCTAGAATATGACTTTTTATTAGACCACGATTGTCTATATATCCAAAAATAAATTAGTAATAGTTTAAGAGGCAATTATCTTTAATCAAACGGATGAAACGTTTTCGAACCAGAATATTTGTTGGACCATTATTTGTTTGCGTCAAACATACACTGGAAAAAATATTTTTCTATTTAATCAGTTTCATATTTCAGCTCAATAATTGACTTACTTAAGCTACTTTCTTAATTAAAAATTAAATAATGATCACATCAATAAAGAAAGATTATACATATTCCTCAAATATTATAAAATGGATTTAATCTTCGGCAAACTTAATATGAAATATTCTTGTAAAAATATGGCACAGAGGTAGCGTAGACATTCTTATAGAAGATAGCAGATGTGTTAAGGGAGTTGTCAACACTTGTAATTTTCTGAGTTTTTTAAAAGGTATTTAAACAAATACCGAACATCGTTTATATAAAATTTACATTTTAATTGACTCTTACATCCTTACGATATCGTATTGAAATCTTCACCAAATACGTATGTTTCTATATATATCAAGAATAGGACAATACAAGTATATTGCATAGAATTCGTGTCTGTTATTTGAAGTTTCATTCAGCAACTATTTGATAGATGCACATAAGCCAAGCATTTTTATACTACCTTTCAAGCTTTGAAACTCGATTTCCACTCCAATATATTGATTTGACGGTTAATACGGATGGAGATTATGCTAAATTAATGAAATCGGTTAAAATATTGCTCAATAAAGAATAAATACAATATTCTCTTAAATGGCTTAAAATAGATACGAAACTCATAAAAACACACAGTAACATTAAAATGAGATGCATCATTCGAAATACTTATGTAATTATTAATTCTTCATTATTTAACACTTAAATTATGTCGAAGCACTGGATTGTGGTTTGATATATTGGTACACACAGTTAAACCGAACGTTCAACTCATATGTAGTTAAAAAGTGTTAATGTTCATAATTCGACTACACTAGAAGATATTTACATTTAGTAATAATAGCCCATTGAGCCCTTTAGAGTAATAAATGCAGTAATATTAAATATTAGCTAATTACATTTAACCAACTCTGTCAACAAAGGCAGATGGTGGACTGACATGCTTTTCAGTTAAAGTGTAATCTAATTGCTCAGTTTTTGAGATTTTTGTTAAGTTGCAGCTTGGATTTGGTAGATTATCAGTGTTTTCCATCTGAAATTTATGGTCACTCATAGTTGAACCAATAGCTAATGTTTCAGTGTTGCTTAAAGTATCCATGCAATGGTACTCATGAGACCGATTTGGTATTCCTGAAACTGAATCAATACTATAAATATTTCGCTGATGAGTTAAGAATTCAATTTGGTCGCCTTCAGTTGTTGCAAAAAGCTTTATATTCGTGTCAGCATAGTTTATTTTATAACCAAGATCCTCCGTCTCTTGGGTTCTTAGTTTTTCATTATTTGACCCCGATTGTGCAGTTGGTCGGGAGATAGCCTTGGCTTCCCCACAATCGCGATTAAGGGTGCTGATGTTGGTACCACTATCGGCACTTTTGAATCGGCGACTGGATACACTTCGGGACATATCTGGACATTGGATTGCAGTTTTGGCACATTTAATTGTGAGAACTTTCCGCTGGGAATCGCAATTGTGAGTTGATTTGCGTTGTTGCTTTGTGCCCGGGTCAAAGAACCTATAGTTGATGGGTACGTTGTCCAGGACGCTGAAGATAAATAAATATTTTTTAAATTAGCATTATTGTTAACATCATTAAAAAACTTAAGTCTCAAAATCATATGATTTCAACTCAGCACAGGCAAACAGGGCGTCCTATACAGTCTACATAAGTTGAGATTTGTGTTGACAGAGGAGACGCTTGTAACCGACGATCTCAGCGATTGAGACAAGCGGTCATTTTTACGCCATAGAACAGAAGCGTATAAAACAATTATTTTGAGCGAAAATTAAAAAAAAATTTCAAACCAAACTCAAAAATGGGTTACAAGTAAAATCTAAAGATTAGTTCCAAGAAAAAAGAGCTATAATGGAAATATTTAAAAAAGTGAATAAGTACAAAGAAATTAAATCTGATTTCGCATTCGTATGTGCAGCATAGCAAAACTGGATAAAAGCAGAAGAAATAAAAATAAATTTAACACAAAACAAAAACATTATTTCAGGGCTAAACAGATTTTACAAAGTAAGATTTTAGTAGTATTCCTACTAGGAATACTAGATACCATAAAAAGATGCGCTTTTCCAAATACCTAGTATTTTAAAGTTTTTTGAAATCTTGGTATCCAAAACTCCAAAGTAGAAAAATTGGTGTATTCATTAGAGTACACAGTATCCAACAATGCTTAATTATTTATGCAATGCTTAATTAACGAAATAAGCGTATCTATTTTTACCGATAATAAGAAAATGACATAAATTAGGAATTGAAATTTTGTTGAAGGATTTAGCTTTTGTACATTATGAGATCAAACAGATTGAAAGACATGCAGACGGGCAGACAGATATGGCTATGTCAACTAAGCATGTCATTCTGAATAAAAATATATATAATTTAGGGTTCTGCCACGTCTCCTTCTGTCTTCTACATACATTTTCACCAAAGCATTATGCTCTGAATTGCCATTTTCAATTGGGTCAGAGATGAAATGATAAAAATTAAATGAAAAATGAAATGGAAAATCGAAAAAAATAATTTTAAATGCGAAAAAAGAATAGGTACTAACTTACTATGCAGTTGAGGTCTGCTAAATACAGAAGACCTATCTTTACCGCTTCCGCCGTCATTTCTAATTTTTCTTCCATGAGCTAGAAGAAAAAATATACAATTTATAATGAATCGGAAATTTGTAAATATAGTGAAATACCTGTATGGCCTTCGTCCTCAATGAAACTTGAAGTTTCACGGTGGCTAGACCGACTTTCATCACGGGCTCGCTCACGCTCCCCACTAAGCTCACTATCACTATTCAAGCTATCGTACTCTTCCGATTCTGATTTTATAATTTTCGATCGACGCTTTAGTCGCTTTTCAGTATTTATATTGTTGCTGTCATCAACTATCATCACATTCGGAAGTTTGACTTTTGTGTTGATACCACCTATATTCGTTGATGCAGGGCGCATTCCTTTCGACCCCGAGTTACATAAAGTATTATCATCTTCACAGCGAGAATCGTACTTTAATGAGCTGCCCGTGTAGCTCAAAGGAATATTTCCGGACTGGTTTTCATGTTCTGGTAAATGAAATGTAGCGTAAGGATATATGTCTTCTGAGTATTCGGGAATTCGCTCAAGTCCAGCAACCGCTTCATTCTGGGTTTGCTGGCAAGATTTTCGTACTGTACCATAAAAGTGTTCATGACTTTGAATATCCTTTCCATCTGTAGCACTACTTTGTGGCCTTAATGAATCAACATTACGTGTAAACAAAGTATGAGGATCTATAAAACATAAAGGGTTCAGCTATTTTGTTTTTTTTGTAGCCCAGACATAAATATTTAATACACACAATTTTTGAAGCAGATAAAAGCTCCAATTAATGCAAGAATTGTTCCGAAAATTGATGTTATGATAACTGCTATAAAGTGAGCATCACTGAACACAGTTTGCTCTTCGGGCATCACATCAAACTCCGAGCTGCCAGCTAATCCAAGCAAATTCTGTGTTTCAAAATAAAATTCCTTTGTAGTGAAGCCAGCGTTGTTGTTAGCCGTAACACGTAGCTGATACGCAGTGCCTGGCTCCAAGTCTCCAATACTATAACGATTCTATAAAAAAATTATATATATAAATAGGGTGAAGAAAGAGTGTATTAAAATAAAAATTAACTAACATGTGCTTCAATTTTATTTGAAACTATAATCCATTCACTGGAAGCTTTATAGTGCCTAAATTCAATACTAAAATGAAGTATTGGACATCCACCATCTTGCCAAGAGGACAAATCCAAGATAACTGATGTTGTATTCGAACGTATGAAACTGTTCTTTTGTGGTGCTATTGGTTTGTTTCCTATTAAATGTAGATAAGCAACTTTAATTGTATAAAGTATTAATCAACTTATTTTTTTTAATCAAATACCTTTTGTCTGTGCTGATACAATACCACTGGTTACGCTAGTGCCAATTTTGTTGAAGGAAGTCATTGCAAATTGATATTTAGTGCCGCATTGTAGGTTTTCAATCATATATGAAGTAATTCGCCGATCAATCTGCAACTCATCCCATTCAGCAGACTCACGCCTATAGGTTAAAGTAAATCCTCTAATTGGAGCACCGCCAATATCGTCGACTCTCCACTGTATGGACACCGAATTCTTGTGCGCCGAATTTATAGACACAACGGGCGGGGAAGGTGGAACTAAAAAAAGTACATACTTAATTAAAATGTTAGAAAATATGTGAAATAAATTACTTTACCTTGCACAAATAGCTGATAAACAATGTGATCTGATCCCATTGGATTTCTAACAATACACGAATAATTGCCTTCATGCGATCGTTGGATATTACGTAGACTTAACGTGTTATCAGAATTAACTTCTAACGGAAATTGCTTCTTGGACCGCGTATTGAGTATTTTCCATTCGGCAGTTGATTTGGGATTTCCAACAAATATACATGCTAATTTAATATCTGACCTCCAATTGACGGACAATGTCTGGCTGAATGATATTATTGCAGCTGGTATTGTTGTGCTAGGTACTAACTTAATTACTGGAGTACTTGGCCCCTGGCCCACTCTTGTTGATGCTGTGACCCAAGCCTCATATGTTTCTCGAAAATTTAAGTCTTTTGCTTCAAAATGTCTATTATGTGCTGGTAAGATTTCTTTAAGGATTTTCAGCTCCTGGCCCTTTTCAAGAACTCGTATATAAACATTGTACTTAGTAATTAATCCATTGGGCCGTCTTGGGGGTAGCCAGCTAACAATCACTGAAGATTCTGTATTCACTGCTGATTTGACAAGCTCCGGCGCATCCGGAACTGCTTCTTCTGTAATGCATGATACAGCCGAACTGGGCACGCCTTCACCAGCCCGAGTAAATGCTAATACTTGAACACTATAATTTGTGAATGGCTGCAAGCCATGGAGCACTGTACTGAGAGCCGATGTTATTTTTGTCTCTCGAACGCTGTATTCACTTTCTAAAAGCCCTGGTTCATAAAGCAACTTATAGCCTTGAATAATTCCGTGACTTAGTTTCTTTGGTGGGGACTGCCACGATATTTGAATATTTTGGGCAGTGAGTGCGACGCATGACACTGATCGAGGAGATGCGGAAGGAACGTCCTCTAAAGTGTGACCTAATACCACATCACTCGGGGGGCCGTCGCCTTTTATATTAAATGCAGATACAGTAATTCCATACTGAGTATACTTCTCCAATCCAGTTAACCGGAAGTCATTTAAGCCTTCTGTGGTCAAACTTCCAACCTTGGTATGATTTTTCCCATTATCTGGAGTACCCTGTTTTTGATATGAAATTGTATAGCCTAAGAGATCTCCATTCCATGAATCCCGTACAGGTGCTCGCCAAGTAATCAAAAGCTATTTAACAGGAAAAAAATAAAATTACGATATTATCACCTATTTACAAACAAACTAGGTATATGCATGCATTAAAAAACAACTAAAACTCACTTGTTAATAGACAACTAATTAGTTCTTAAAAATTTTAACTAATAAAGCTATTGATCTTGATCTACGCCGGCAATTATTATTATTTTAAGTGCACTTACCTGTTGTGGTCCAAGTGGTTCAGCGGTAATATCTTGCGGTGGGGCAGATGGAACTTCTGAATCTGTTTGTACAAATAATATATCACTGGGGGCACTGGTACCCAAATGATTTTCTGCAAACAATCTTATGTGATACACCTGTGCCGGTCGAAGAGATCCCAGTTGGGCCGTTGTTCTATCACCAGGAAGAAGCTTTTGGTTGTTGTGTTCATGCCAGACATCTAATAAACAAGAAAATTTAATATCGATTATTCATAAATTTAATCGCACATTTATAGCACTAAGAACAACTTAAGTTAAGAAGGTTTATCTAGATAGAACAACACTCTGTTAACAGTACAACTAATTGTACTTCTTCACGATATAGTTGGTTTCGTGCAATGTCCGTCTTGCTGTCCCTCTGTTCAAATGATCGCAACGTCTAAGCCCTTGCCTATGCCGGAAGAGTAGCGTTATCGCTTACGCTAAGTTGGATTGCCAATTCTTGTTGCAAAACTATGTTAAGAGAATTTCGCAACCACCAGCCTGCTGGGACTTTTGATTTTTAAGGTCAGTTTATATAAGAGTTATTCAGAATAAACACACTTGATCAGGCACAAGCCACAATACATAATTCATTTTTTATTTAACATTAATTTAAGGGTATGTAAGCTCTCCTACGTAATCTTCCTAAGAAAACGACCATTACAGCTCGTATCTAAAAATCCCTGGACCAGAAGCATCGAACATATCCAAATATTAAAACTTCACTGTTGCGATACTATAGATTAATTTTAAGGATTGTCCGAAAATGATATGCCCACGACTACTTGGGACTAGTAGTGTATATTCTACAGTTTTACTGTTAGAAACGTAATAAGTAAGAAACCTATAGTCGGGGTGCCCAACTGGAACAAACCCTAATCGCAATCATATCTGGGTTTTTAACAGTTTCCAAAGCTTGTATCGAGCATTACAAAAATAGCAATAAAAACCAACATAATGACATCAAAATTCGAACCAACATTGCTTACACAATGCGTATTCTCTCTACCAACTAAACCATTGCATAATAAAAAAAAAAAAGAAACGTCCCTTTGCCGACTGAGATTGAACAAAGTAATTGTCGGCAACGAGCGCCGCCTCTACCAACACTACAACTGCACTGCTGTCCAAATTGTCGTGATTAATGGCTTCAGGGGCTTCAGTTTTAGGCATATAACTTTCTCTCCGCCTCTTCAACGCCAATTTTGCTACTGTTTCATGTTATAGCCTGATGCGTATTTCAAGTATAAGGTACTTAGTTCACTTGGTTCAAATAAATAAATAATTTAATTTTGATATTAAATTAATAATTTCGATATTAAAACATATCGTTCAATGATAAGTAAATACTGTTTTATATGTGAAAATTTAATCGTTTTACATTTTTGGCAGTACTTGCAAACTTACCTTATGTATATCAGATTTGACTCACCTCCAGCTTTTTTATATTGCAAAATATAATTTGATATTGGCTGTGCATCCCGGTTATTACCACCACCTCCTCCCAATATTATTGAATCCTGATCGTTTGGAGACCACGCCAATGTAACTGACCGACTTCCAAGATCCCTAACATGCAGGTTAACTGGAAAATTTGGAGGTTCCTGCACTTGAACATGTATAACACTTCGATCCCGCCCATACGCGTTGTTGGCTATGCAAGTATATTCTCCTCTATCTGTTAGAACCGTTTGTAAAATAGTCAGCTCTGATGATACTCCACGGGCCAAAGGTGAGTTCTTTATATGATAACGGATATCATATGATGGATCGATACGACTTGCTTTCGATCTCCAAGATATTTCTAAGGGCTGATCTCCAGTTGCTTCGCAGCGCAATGTAACTCGATCACCACGTCGTATCGACAACTGCTTTTTGGCCACGGTAACTGAGGGGCCAACTGTTACAATTAACGGCGAAAAATAAATGTTGAGCAAAATAAGAATTGGTTTTTATTAGATGGTTTTTATTAATTTAATGTAAAATTCATGCTTACCATGAACAGTTAACTTAATTAGGGTACTTAAGCCCGCTCCTATACCATTGATTGCTTGACATAGATAGCTGCCCTCATGTTCGCGGGAAACTTGCGATATCATCAGAGATCCATTCGAATGAGCCATAATAACTGATTGAGCGTTTCCGTTGCTAATAGCATAGCTAAGATCACGATAGTCCCCTGAGTCGCCTTCATGTATATACATATATGAAATTTATGATTGTTATTTTGAATCACGAGGTTTCTTTTAATACCTATGGACTGCTTCCACTGAATGGTGGGTACGGGGAATCCATCAGCTTTACACGATACTACTACAGAATTTCCTAAGATTGCATCTTGGTCAGTAGGTTTCAAAGTCCAGCGTGGAGGAACTATTTTAAAATTTAAAAGATTACCTCGAATTCACTTTTAATCTATAGATTAACATGCATAAGAATAAAACCCGAATACTAATCATGCTATTATATTATTATACCAGTAAATGAAAATTAATTAATAACAAGTCAATTTATATACAAGACTTTTCGCTCTTTTTTAGCAGTCAGAGGAAAGAAAATGAATTTATTATTTATGATTTTAAAATATTACAAATATATTAAGAATGTTGAATGTTAAGATTATAGGATATATATTTGTTTTGTTTTTAATATAGTCCAACGAAATAATCTTTTAACAATATAGAAAGCTGGCAACGTTTTATACTATAAAAACAGGCAGCAAACGATCATAAGGATTTCAAATCTCGATTTAAATAAAATATAAAATCTTTGTCAATGTTAGTTAGAAAAAATAAATTTTAGGTTTCATCTGTATATTTATAAAAATATTGACATCGACGCATCTATGACCAAATTGTTTTTGCTTCCAAGTTTCAAAGAACAAATGGTCAACCCCAAGGACAAATTTAATGGCTGTTGGCCAATTTTTTATAATTTTGTAAGAGCAGATTGAATTTGAGTATTGGCAAATCCACTCAGTCTACATGCAAAAAAAGTTATCAATCCATGCGAATTGTGCATCACTGGTAAGTCTTGCAAGTGAGTGCAAAAGCCGAGTGCATTGTGCTCAGTGCAATGATCTCCTATATTTTCGTAGTATTCATAAATTCACCCACTAACTTAGGAGTAGATGTTTAAGTTTAATACTATAATTTTTATCTCCTAATTTGTTATATTAGTATTATCTTCATATATGACCGAAAAAAACTCAATTTACTGGGTAAGTTGCTTTTTATATATATTTGTGTAGTTGTACAGACTCCGACGTTTTAAGATATCTGATGTGGACATCAAAGAGAAACAAATAAACTTTGAAAACGCAGAAGAGAATAATTGGATCGAGAAATATCAATTGAGATATATTTATTTGGAATTTAATTTATTATATCATTGAAGAAAATTGATGATTTAATTATTGCGTAAAGCCTAATTATACGAAATTATCTCTTATGATATAAGCACTGGCACTAGCAGCTATTGTTCCCAATAAATTATTTTGTTATAATCTATTTAAGAAATTATATTATATTATTATTTTTTCTTTTTTTTTTTGGCCCACCTTGCTGCGCTTTTATATCCATAATAAATCTGAGTTAGTAGAAAATCATGTAACTACAATAAATAGACTTGTTTGTGAAAATGTTGTTGAAGAAAATATTGTTCTTATGAGATAATTCTATAAATATAATACAAATCACATAATATGAATCATATGATTGCGCTGTATGTGTCGTTATTAAATTTCAATACAGTTTCATCCACAATTACAAGTTTGATAGACTCCTGTATCTCTTAGCACTTTGAAGAGGAATTGCTCTATAATTTAATATAATAATAATTCTGGCAATGTCCATAGGAGGGTAAATTAATATTTGTTAATGCCGACGAAGACTGTCGAAGACATTTGCAATATATTTTTCTGGCAATATGAATTGCCATTTTACTCCGTTTAGCGATTTTGTTACAATAAGAGAATAGAAGCGTACTTTGAATTTGGGTTATTGTCGTCTTCCTCCCTGTTTATGTGTATTAACGCAAAACTGTACGGAGGGCATAAAAGTTAGATTCTTGAAATTGGGATATATGCTCAAGTTTACACTTGTCGATTTTATTAAATACATCTACTGTAGGCCAAACAATAATTATACTGCTGACCTCCTCTATGAATAGAAATTTATTACTTTTGACAAACTAAATGTGAGCTTAGACCTAAATATCGTATTACATCACATCATAAAACCCAAGCTTTTTAATCCAGCAATAATCTCTTAATGCATCTGATTCATATAAGTTTGTAATTATTTTATTAACATCCCCAGAAGTAAAATATTTATGTTTAAAGCACATAAATTGAATACAATCTAAAATAGGTATTACCAGAGCAAAATCCTAAAGCTAGGTGAATTATCCTCCTGGTGCATTGTCTACGATATTTATTGTGAATTTTGTTTTCTTGTGCATTGTTTATTTCAATATTGTAGAATTAGATGGCTTATTAATGTTTCTAGAAAACAATAGTTACACTTGATTTACCCGAAACCGAAAGAACGGCTGTATATTCAACAACGCCAGCATGATTTGCCACACTGCAAGTGTAGTTACCATTGTGCCATGAGGAGACGTTGTGTATGGACAATATGCTGGAAAATGGGGTATAATGATTGATTGTTAACGATGGATCCGGAGGTAGAAATTCTTCGCCTTGCTTAGTCGTCATGGTTAATTGTTTTCCCATTGGAACGCCTGAATTACTCTGAATTGTCACATTGTTTCTGTGCCAAGTTATATTAAAAGGTTGGTCTCCTTGGCTACTGGAGCACATTATCTGTGTTCGCATACCTTCAGTAATTTCATCTTCAAACGCAAAAGGAGATATACGCGGTGGCACTATACATAAAATATCAATAAAAAAATATATTTAAAAAACCTCTTCTTCAGTTTATCATTGTTCTATCAGCACATAGAACAGAGGAATACTCTGTCAGTATTACGTAACCCAAATAACATGAACGGATTGGGGCGTAGTTGAAAACTGAACCGATATCCTTTAAACAGTATATATATTTAAATTTAATTCAATTTAAACTACACTAAATAAATATGAAGTCGATCAAATTATAGAATTAACAAACAAATTCGTGCAATTTCAAAATATTTGAATATTTATTTAAATTTATATAAATAAAGAATGTATATGCAATAATTACTCAAGTTTTTTATCTACTTTTCAATAAAATATTGCGATTAGTTTTTTTTTTTAATTAACTATTAAAAGTATCTAAATATCTACTCCATTCATACATGGAGTTTTATTATATCTAATTTATCAATATATGTGCACATAATTTTTGTTACTATAAAAATAATAAGTCAGTTGACTAAAATTATGAATTCAGACAATTACGTGCATATATGTATGTAAACGGATAATTTAATTTAGTGCACAAACTAAAAACGCATAATGCTATTACAAGTACCATTCACTTTAAGCTGTGCAGAGTGCGTTACAGTAGCGGCATCATTTTGAACGCGACATGTGTAGGTGCCACTTTGGTCCCTCGTCACACTTGTGATGCTGAGGGCGCTGGTAAAATCATCATTTTGGCGAATTGTCACCTGGCCGCTACTTTCACCACTACTACGACCATTGTCATTCGATGCGGTTTCACTTGTGAAGGCCGATGGTGGCATAGAAGATGAAAACTGCAACATAGATCCGGAGCCGGAACCCAATACAGCAACGCCACCGGTACCCTTAAGCCCACCGCTGACACTGTCGACGGATGCTGCCGATGGCAGGGCTATTCCATCCTTTAGCCAAGTAAATGTTAGCGGCAGGTCCCCGGTGCCAATAACGCACTGAATGCTTGTACGGTCCCCGACATTTAGATCACGTGCGAATGAGAATGGTGTAATCTTGGGTGGAACTGGATGTTTAATTTCAGTAAATATGCTTTAGTAATAAATTTATGAAACGCTTTTCCGCAAACTAAATTACGAATTGTTTAGAATGTTGTATATGGTTTCATTTTGTAACACACCAAAATATGTTTTTGGCGATTAAGATATATATCTCTCATATGTCAGAATTTTAATTCATCTTTATCAATTACTCTGTAGCCTATTATATTATATTATCTAGAAATAAATTTAAAATAACTTCTGATCAGTTCAGTTAGTCTATTTCGAAGAGCAGAAGTTCTAAAAACATTTAATCGCAGGATCACATGTGGCATTTAAATTTTATTATCAATTTTAAAAATATTTCGATTATTTTTCTCGCCAGCTTTTTGAAAGACATTTGACTATTGAATGCATCTTCATTTTGTGAGATGATATTGGCTGAGAGATAAAACGAGACAGTGGAGCATGGTAAGTCATACAATTCATATATGTGAGCAAGATCGCTATTAACGATTCCATTTCACTAGACAGAGATAACTTAATCAGAAGAAACCTCAATACTCCATTCGGGTAAGCCGTTTAATAAAGAAAACAAGCATATTTATATTCCAAAAAAAAAGAGATTGCTCAAAATCTCCACTTTGTGACGTACAAAATAATTATAAAAAAATATTTTCCCTGATAATTTAAAGCCCGTTTAATTGGTTTAATGAAAAAAAATTTAAGAATTACGTAAGTGGCAAACGAATTTATTAAACTATAGCATATAAGTCATACAAATGATGCCCCAGATTCACACCAGCGGCAAAATATTTAGAGGAGAAAATTACAGATACGCTTTGCAGTCTTGGTGTTTGCTAGTAGTCTTCTTGAATACGAAATTAGTCACTATAAATAACTTTCAATTACCCTTAAAGAAGGGATTAGTCGAAAAATGATTTATAGTCCAAAAGTCCTTTATTATGATTTTTGATTTTATAATAAAATGCAGTTATCTAAGGTCATATATAGTTATCAAAAATCTGACAGTTTCTTCTCAATAAATCATTTTGATGCGTATTACAGAAAAGCCTACTATTTCGAAGAACAAAATGTTAATTTTATCTATCTAGTAGAGCGAATAGATTCAATATGAGTTCTTAGATATTGGTCGTCATATTTTAAAAGTAGATTTCATTTAACATACAGGAAACTAATATTATAAAATAAACACTGAAATATTTTATATAAGAGCTTCAAAAAGACTACTAATAAGTACACCTGCAGAGAATCGATTCAAAACACCAAATTGACACTAAACCGCGAACTTAGCTCGCATCTTTAAAATTGTCTATAAGCATTGATTAGACATTTAAAGCGCTTTTTAGAGCTATTACAACATACAATTGTGGCGAATTAAAACCTGAAAGAATACCGCGCATGCCAAAAGCAAGTGCAGGTGGGTGTGAAAGTGCAAGTGCAAATGCGAGTGCAAGGAATACCTTTTGCGAGTGCGATTCTTAGGTGCAATGTAAAAGTTCGAGCGGTGCAGGTATTACAGAATATTAAAAATCGAATGAGTACAAAACTATATTATGTTAGGGATATGACTTCACTTGCGACAAATATTATATGACAATTGTATAATGTGCTTAAAGGTACATATAAGATTCCAATATTTGTTATATCTATACTTAAAATCTACCACAAATGTGCATAGAATTATTAAAGTATTAACATAACCTTACTTACATTCTACTTATACTAAGTATGATCTTATAGGACTAGCTTATGTAGCATTTTAATTTAATTCACGAATTGAATTTTTGTTGAATATTGTTTATTGTGCAAGGTCCACCGTGCTGTTAATCCATCCGCAAGTCTCTCTGTATGTACGCAAACTATTTCGCTCCTATTAAAACAGAGGACTTGAGAAATAATATTACTTAAACTGATGGCCTAGCTTTTGTTGTTTAAGAGTTCGGACGGATGGTCAGACGGACGAAATAGTCTACAATTCATAATGCTCTGTCACGCCACATTCAACCTTTTATTTAACAAATCCATTTATTATTTAGCTATATCTAATAAAGCATGGTATGGAATAACTTACATGACCCACTTATCAAAGGCTGAAAAATTGTAGGAATTTGTTATGTGATTATATAAGACATTAGTTCTTTTTTTTTGACCCATCAATTAAAATATTCGTAAATATAATTAATGTCCTTCCGCTGATATATGCTTATTTATATAATAATAACCATTTTATGAGTTACTTAATTTTAGAAATTGAAAATATTTATTAAAATGTATAGCGCGAAAATATGAACTATTTATTCTTAAAAGTAAATTATAATTATAACACCTAAAAGATGGCATCCATATTGAAAAATAAGAAAAAAGGAACGTGCTACGTACATTCAAATGCATAACTTTTTTTTTTTTATGCACGTGCATTATTATTAATTTTTGTGATGTGATCTTTCCTGAAATTCATAAAATGAACCATTTAATTTAACATATATGCATGCAACTGCAAGGAAATACTTTAAAGAGCTCTTAAACATAACAGATTCTTAAATAAATATAGTTTACTTAATCAGAGATAACTTTATTATACATAATAGTGAACTCCTAATCAATATTCTTAAGAATATTATTAAGCAGTCTATCTTATGCTGAAATATAATTAAATTTAAAGTTCTAAATGGAGATTGTAAATATCTATACTCATTCACGAACTCAACGCGTATATTGTTTTCGTGCCTTTCGACCATTCGACCATCTATCCGTACGTCTGTGCGTCTTTTTCTAAAGTCATGGGTACTATCTCTTTCTCATAAAGTGTTAAGAAATACTTTATCTGATATAACAAAAAGTTATTAAAACTGATAATGACTTCAATTTGGAATTTATAATCGTGCTGACAACCCAAGAACAAATATATATTGTGGATATACAGTAGGGAGCAAAAGTGTTTGAATAGTTGACACTGAACTTTGTGAGTCATTAATATCCAAACGAATTAAGTAAATCAAAAAAACTTTCTTTTTCCAATAATATGTATTTAATTCTTAACAAATTGCCGTATATAACAAGAACAAAAGGTATCAGTGAAATATTCAAACAAAGAAAACTGAAACAAAACGCATATGTACAATTTTGCACCTTCAGTGATTCAAAATCAATATTTTGTCCACAGACCCTTATTAGGTATTACACTTTTTATTCAGCTTGGCATACTCTCGACCAACTTCTCTGTGGTTTCCTTTGGAACTCGGTTCCACTCCAGTTCTACACGCTTCCAAAGATCGTCTAGGTTGGATGGCATTGATTGCTATTGCCCGAGCCGTCGCTTCACGATTGAACACAGGTTCTCAATCGGATTGAGGTCACGACTTTGAGCTGGCCACTCCATCAGCATCAGTTATCAGTTCTCATTTTCGATATCATTAGTCTGACGTCAGAGTCCTTTAGTAGTGTTTTTTGATGCAAAATTGCGTCTTTTCTGGAACTGACACCGCTGAATGAGAAATATAAGGCAGATCTGCAATACTACGAGTCGAACAGCCACTTTCAGTTAGGCTAATAATACTATTTTCGCCTTCTGACGAAAGCTTCATTTTTTCTCGGTACTCTATAGACTACTTGCTAAAATCAACAAACAATAAGAAACACATGAATTTCTGGATCATCAAACTGTAGAATGCATAAATAAAACATATAACGGTAAAACTTCATGTCTATTGCCGATAAGAGAATTAAGAAATCAAACCAAAGTAAGAATATCGGAAGGTGCAAAATTGTACATGCGTTTTGTTTCAGTTTTCTTTGTTTGAATATTTTACTGATTAACTTTTGTTTTTATTATATACGAAAATTTGTTAAAAATTAAATACATATTATTGGAAAAAAAAGTTTTTTTTCGATTGACTTTATTCGTTTGATTTACTTCATTCACAAAGTTCAAAGTGACAGCTATGGAAACACTTTTGCTCCCTAATGTATATACGCCTACTGTGACTATATAGTGTTTTATACAAATTCTGTTATAGTTTCATAACTATGAAGTCAGAGATTGATGTATAAAAATATGTAATTTATACATATATCATAAAGGAGTGATAAATTATGACCGTTAAAAACTAAAAATTTAAACTATATATACTATATATATACTCTTGTGTTTCTTAAGTACATGGCAAATGGCAAAAAAAAACCATCTTCCAAAGTTTACTTACGAAAGTCTGTTTTTTTATTTCTTTAGCAAAAAAGATTTAAATGTTTTTGGACCGTGAATGAGTATTAAACAGTCGATCGCGCCCGACTGGGACATTCTTACTTGTTAAGGTTGTGAATCTCCACAATCATAGGAATATTATATCTGGAATATAAAATATATATTAAATACTGATATACATACCCAAGACTTTAACATCTACGGATCGTTGCGAAGTGTAATTGTGCTTATTTCGTGCTATACATGTGTATGTGCCCTGATCGGCGGCTCGTTGTACATTATCTATTACAAGAGTTCCATTTTGGACCCGCTGTCACATATTGATTGGCAGTCTAATACCATCTAAAAAACCAACTTTTTCCAAAAAATGCTGCAGTAATTTTTTTTACAAATAATACCTTTCTCTATAAATACACTTTCTATTGGATATCCGGCAATAGGGCATTTTAAAGTAAAAGCTTTGCCAGCAACAGCAGATATTTTTGGCATATGTCTTATATAGGGCATACCTGTAATGAATCAGGGAACAACACTTTTATCATTTTCAATATATTTCAGAAATGCTCAAACATAAGTTTGTAAAGTTATTAAAAAATAATTATAAAGATGCAAATCTATATACTTATATACAAATATGATAGTTGCTAAAAATAAATATACGTACCATATATATTTAGTCTTGCAGAATGCATAACCTCACCAGCTCTAGAAATCGCCTTACATTCGTAGTCCCCGCCGTCCTCTGATTTAACAGCTGATATATTGACGTGGCTAATAACATCACCAAATGTGGTCACATATTGTCCAATCATAAGACGATCATTCTAAAATATAGTGGGAATATGGTTTTTATTTATCGAGTTTTATTTTAAAGCTCACACTTTTATCTATTATAATATATTTTATTCCTATCATATATTGTACAAAAGTATGCATAGCTTTCGACATGTTGGAGTGGTCGGGTTAAATACAATAGAGTATTATATATATAAAAAAAAATACAATAAAAAATAATTTTACAAAAACAAGTAAGACTGCTGATGACAAATAGGCAACATTGAAAGCCAGGACATTGTTTGTATTCTAAGTGACAAGCCCGCAACTGAAGACGCAATTTAAACACAATTCAACTGCAATTTATACTCACAAGCAGTATATATGCTATATGTGGTTCATGCATTTGAATAAACCCATTACAAAAGTTTTATATAAGTTTTATACTAAGTCCGTTTGGCCAATATCGACGTAAGTCGTTTCGGTGTTATTAGATCTAGAGACGTGTAATTTAATGTGTATACTCGTAGAACACCCCCAATCTTGGCCCAGCAGCGTGGTAAACCAAATCAAACTGAACCTTCCTTCAACAGTTTTAAAAACGAAAAATGTGACAACTGAAAAGAAAAGTTTTTCCTGAGTTTCTAAGGATACGAAGCGGAATAAACTATATCTCAGTTTAAGAGTATATGTATCACAGTGGACTTCATCCCCAGTAACACCTATAAATTATATTTACCATACTTATTTACATTTTGTATAAATCTAACCGTTCTTGAGCAGTAAATTGCGCCTGGCACCAAAGGTTTAACTATTATTTATAGTAGTACGGTACACCGTAGCAAAGTAGTGAAATGTCATAGAATATCCATATTTATACTCATTCACGAAGTTAATGCGTGTATATTGGTTTTGTGTACATTGGGGGACGATGCAAAGCGGAAAATTCTATATCTACTAAAGTTTTCGAAGGAGAAAGATAAAAAATCTATAATTGGGTTACTATTGACCTCTTAGATGAAGTCGATAGATCAAAAAATTTATGCGTCTTTGGGGGAAGAAAAATAAAAATGTTCAGAATTTTTCGCAGCTTTATAGCCTTACCAGTGGATAAACAATATATACATATATATACACGCTAGGGGCATGACAAATATGGAAAAACTGTATACTCAACAGTTTTGCAGCTAAAAACTAAACATTTGACGAATACATTTTCTGTTGACCTATATTGCCGTTCTAAAAATTATATATACATACATATATGCATCTTAACAACGTGGGAAATGCTAAAAACATGTCTTCCTAAATTTAAAGCTGTTAGTTATTGTTATTGTTGTTACTGTTATTGCAGACTCCATCCTGACCCCCTTTACTTTTTAACGCTTGAATGTGAGTTATGCATTCTCATATTTTCTATATGACCTATAGAGATTCTATATCGGTTTTAATATTATTCGATGATACATACTGGTGCTTAATAATATAAATCAACAATATATTTACATTTGGAAGAGGAAATCCATCCAATTGCCAAACAATTTTGGGTGTCGGATTACCGCTAGCGCTGCACTTAAGCGAAACAGAAGGTCCAGGCTGCATAGTTTGCTCTATAAACTTATAAAGCAATTGAGGTGATACTTCTGTAAATGAAATTATGAAATTAGCACCATAGCTGTAGTACATTTTATAGTTTGTTTTCTATTCTTATTTATTTAATATTATATATATCAATTATTATATATATTATATATATTCAATATCTCGAAAATATTTAAGAAAATAGAAATGAAGGTGTCAAAAAACCTGTTTTCCTACTTTTTGAACATTTTTAACAAATCAAGCTCACAAGTTAATACCTACAAATGAACTGAAAGCTTGGCTATTACAATTTTCATATGTCCATTTATTTATTTGCCTTTATGGGAAAATGTTTCTGCTCCAAAATACGATATACGTTCTCTCGAAGAAAAATTTGTGAATAATGGAACTTAATTTAAGAATCGACCATATCGGTTGAGCTCGTCCTGAGGTCCCTTCGCTTTGTAAGTAACGCATTCAAACTAATGCCTAGTCATGCTACGCTTGTAAAATACGTACCTCCCAATCTTAGCTCGGCAGAACATTGGCTTGACTCCAAGTCGTTCTTTAGCATACATTGATACATTCCCTTATCTTCCTTAACAATTGATGTAATTCGTATATGTTCCGTTGACAGAAGACGAACACGAGCCCCAGAGCGTAATGTTTTTCCATCCTTAAACCATAAGACTTGTTGCTTTGGAAATCCAGACGTACTGCAAATCTTTAAATTTACCGGTATTTTTTTATTTTTAAAACATAAACGTATGCATTAACTATGTAGGTCACTTTACTCACTAAATCAGCCGTATGTCCAAGATTCACAGTCTGTATTCGGGGCTGTACGCTTGCACTTAATGGCGATGATACTGACAGCTTGACTTCTAGAGTTTCACTACCCTCAGAATTAGTAACTGTACAATAGAATATCCCATCGTCATTTTTTGTGATGGCTGATAAAATAAGAGTTCCGTCTTTGATCTTGGCGCGTCCAGTCGCAAGCATGTGCTGCATAGACTCTTCATTGCTTGAACGTGTAATATGCCACCTGAAAAATAAATTGTTTATATAATATTATTTTTAACATAACAATAGGGATCTAGTTAATAGTCTTTAATTAAAATTGTCAAATGTATATTAATCAGTCGATAACCTCGTATCCAGAACTTCTATATTTTAAGAACTCATTTTCCATCTACATTATCTACTTAGAGAGCAAAAAGCAAAATAAAAATTGAGAATAGCGGACCTTCATATGAATATCAATCATTAAGGTTGAGCACTCAAAGCGCTCTGATGTTAAGGACCCTTATTTGAAAAAGTTTGTACTAGATCTATGTGTTGTATGGTTAGTGCTACAACCCTGATTCCCACGACATTCATAGTTCGCGCTTTTTTTTACCCTAATCGCATTGAATATGTGAAATCAGGGTATAATGGTTTTGTTAAAATGTATGCAACAATCAGAAGGAGACTTGGCAAACCCCATATGTATGTATGTTTTATACAATTTTGATTTTTGTTATATTTTAGATACCGGCTCCAAATATCCCCAAATTCTTTAAATTTTAGTTAAATATAAAGCCAATTCTATGAGTTGTGCTTGAATTGTCTGCTGCTACTTTAGTTCCGTGTAAGCAGTGCAATGGCGGCGCTCATTGCAGAAAAGTTGTAGGTTCAATGTCAGCAGGGAAAAGACGTGGTTTTTTGTATTTTTTTTTTTAATCTTGAAGTGGCGATTTTGGTAAGTGGATGTGCGTTGCGTATGCAATGTGTTTGTTGTTGTTGTTCTAGATGTTGTAATGCCGGTTTTTTTTTTTTTTTTATTTCTAAAACTAAATACAAACTCTTAAAAAAATATAAAAAAAATGCAGGACTGGGATCAGAGCATCTGTTTGATATTTTACTGGCTAATATCTTAAAACTAAAGTAGTTTTTTCACAACTTTTCAATTCTGTTTTAATCCACAAGAAATAGAAAAGCTCAAGTTGGGTTGCCCGCGCTTGTATCTATGCTAGACCCAAGAAAATCTAGTGAAACTTGAAGCAGATATCCAGAGTATAATAAAAATTCAAATTGTATGATGAGTGCAATGATGTATATAGATGATATAATTTAATGACTGCAATTTCTTACTCGTTTTAAATCGATTATTGATTAACAGTTGTCGAATTTTTTAAACATATCATCTACACGTGCTATCGAGTGACAGTCTATAGCTCTTAAAGAATCTGAGATCGACAAATGCCTAAATCGACTCAGCTCGTCGATTTAATTAGGAATATATATACTTTATGCTTGGCCTTTTATACACACATTTTTACAAAAGCATTATATTCTAAATTTCCATTTTCAATGGACTACAAGTTACAATTAACTTCCCATAGGCCGCAGCCCAAGCATAGTCGATGCATTAACTCCGCAATAAGCAGAATGCGTACTTACTCGTACGTGTGTATGTGTATGTGCATATATTGTTTAATTTGTATGCGTCTTATGATTGAAATATCAGCAACAGGGATCGGGGGATCTACTAGGCGGGAGATCCCGACTAGAGCAGTCTTACTTCTTTTAAACAAAATGTACATAAAAAATTTGAGAATATGGCAATATTGGAAGGACTCCGTACAAAAATAAGTAATAGATTGAACTGGTTTTGTAGCATAAATAGTTTTAAGATTGAAAATTGCTTAAGCAATCAAAATGTGTATTTGAAATAAGTATAAGAGCGTTGATTGCTAATTAATTACAGACTCCGACAGATATCAAAAAATGATATTGTAGTCCAAAGTGTGTCTATTGACTGTGGGGCAACAGCTGGAGCGCATGCGACGGGGGAAAATGATTAAATATGTACAGTTATATGTGTAGCACAAAAACGAAGGAAATAAACGAAAAATTTCACCACTCCTATGCATGCATATATGCATGTAGATGTATGTATACATATGCATCTACATATGCATATAAACATAGATTTGGTCATGAACGAGAAGTAAAGGACTAGCAATACAGAAAAGTTTTAGGTACAGATGACATACATACATTTGTGCAGGCAAACATACATACATGGATGTATTTTTATGCTTATCCCCCTCGAATGGCTGCTACACATGTACATACATAGGTGCTGGTACATGCAATTGAAAATCTATGTCCGTATATGTATGTATATAAGCATACAAGCATACATATGTATGTATGCATAGGCAGTCACACACCACAAAGTCACAGGCCAAAGAAAAACATCATGCAGAAAAACTCAAGAGGAGAACATCGCAAATAAAACAAAGCATACCCTTACGTTGTTGACGACTCGTCATGGGCTAAACGCTTGGTCATATGCATGTGTGAATCTATGTATACAAACTAATGCATGTACTATATACAGGGATGCATACGTGTGTGTACATGCACATGCATGTATGTAGATACCGAGAAAAACTCCACGTCATTTAAGTGAAGTTGTCGGAGCCGACAGACAGATTTACTACCCTAACGAGGAGCATTCAAGCTTTGAAGAGATGTTGGGTGAGCGGCCCAGACCAAAATAATTGTGGAAAGGATGCATTGAAACAAATTTTGTTGATACATATATTGAAGTGCATTTAATAGGTGGCAAAGAAAGTATATAAAGCACAACTCTATAAATCACGTTTCGCTAACTTTTTCTCAATTCAAATAATTACTAATTAAAAGGACTTTACCGTGGGCAAGCTTGTAAAAGTTTTGTACGACACGACAACTGGCATATTATTTATCTAAATTGAAAAACACTGCAAATGTATACAGCATATACATATTTACATATTCTATTTTCAATGGAATGCTAACAGATAAACTCAACAATGCGCTTCTCGGCACTAACCGACTAGGAGATACCCTGACTGCGGCTAAGAGTTGATATTCCAATCAGTTTAAGCTCTTTTACAAATACATTAGACACAATGCATGCACACACATACGCACGCATGCATAAGCACGCGCTGTGACTGCGGTTAGGCTGCAGTTTGCGCTTTGCTATGGGAAATGAAGTGTCGAAAATTAGGAAGTGCGTATAACACAAATATACATTTTATATTTCAAGTCATTTGTAAACATTTTCGACTACAAACGTGATTGGAATCAATTTCGTCCCCAAAAAAACTCAGTCTTTCGTATTTTTACTATCTTGGCAATTGAACTTTAATATCAAGAATTTTGCAAAATTTGGGCTCTCTACTCATAGTAAAAAAATAAAACAAAAAAATATTTTTAATTGGTTCAGGGGGTAAAAAATACAAATTAGATGAATTACACTTAAATGCAGAAGCAAAATAAAAGATATTAGATTAGGAAAATCAAATTTTACAGGAATATAAAAGCCAAATATTCTGCACATAATTAATTTGTATTTTCAGAAACAAACTTACTTGTTTTAATATGGGTTAATAAACATAATTTTATAAACTTGTTGCAAGTTATAAAAATATAATCGAAATAAAAAATATTTATAAGATTAAAGATTGTCTTACCTGTATGTTGGTTTTGGATTCGCATAGGCAATACATGGTAATACTAATGGATCTCCAACTCTGGCCATTATTGCAATTTTTTTGTCATTCATTATTGGTGGAACAAGCTCTCGCATTTCTAACAAATATAGAATCATAAGAGATACAACTCAATTAAATTATATTATAGTTTACATTTGACACATAAAAATAACAATCACCTAAAACTAGGATTCGTTGAGCAGCCGAGTATTGTCAGGTAGGTCATGAAACCAAGGGGTCAATGCCCTTGACTTTATTTGTGCTTCGGTGAAAATCCGAATTTGTCAGCTACTGGGAATCGCTTCGGACAATAATATACTATATACACGTAAATCGGAGATGTAGCTATCCTTTTGCATTTCAATAAAGTTTATGGTTTTGCAATATTTTCACATCTTTATATCTATACTCTGAACGCGAATATACATCATTTGTATTTATTAGGTATCCTGTTCCCATGTTATATTATGCATAATATATATATATATATCTTTCGGCTTTTACCCACTTTCAATTCAGGGCTTAGAAACTGTTAATAATTTGATGAATGCTATTCGTGAAATATATATTGACTTACCTGTTAATTGAATTTTGCCAGCATTACTACTGACTTTTGAGTCCTGCGTCAATTTATGATGTGTTCGACAACGGTAAATCTTTTGCGAATCACTTCTGGTGATGTTATAGAGGAGAAGTTCACCCGTAGGCAACATATGATTTTTACCATCTTTATTGAAGTAATATAATATTGTATTAACTAAGTATTTTGATTAACAGTAGAATTTACTTGCCTCCTTCTAAAGATGGATATATATTAAAGTTTGGTTCCTGCAACCAGGAAGTTACTGTCACATATTCCTTGACGAACGACGGTATGTTACATTTAATCAGCACATTGCTACCAATAAATCCACCAGGGTTCTGGACCTCCGGCTCATAATGTTGATAGACCACTACAAAATTAAAAAAGTATGGGAAAAATGTAAAATTATTAAATATTCACTGATAAATTCTAGTGTTCTGTAAATATAAGTTCATTTAAACTTAATAAATTAACAAGTAAAAGTACTCTAGTCGGGATTGCCCAACTAGGAGCCAGAACACTGCGCTTATATTCCAATCATTCTAGGCAACTTTTATATATACAGATATATACTTTGTGCGCAGTTTACGCAGCGGCAGCTATTTGGCTGCGTATTTGGGTGAATAACTTTTGCTCTAAATGCATTTTGACAATGAAATTTTCCGAGCATAGCCTAGACATCCATAGTTTTTAAAATACGTTTTTTTTTGCGAATGAAGGTATCCAAAATATAAGTCATAACTGTATTCATCAGAGAGAGCTACACAATAAATTTTATTTTATGCGTGAATTCCCATTTACAAGGAGTTCAGGATATACAAATAATGAGAATGGAAGCACAAACCTGCTTTTACTACCACATCCCTGGATATAATAGTACCCACGCTGTTGGATGCTGAGCAACGATATATCGCCCAGTGAACATCTTGTCGAAATTCCTCTGCAGCAAATGATGGAAAATGAAGTGAGCCATTTGGGAAAAGATGTTGAACCTGGAATATAAGAAATCTTAATTAATATTACGTTTTAAATAAAAAAACTTTTTACGAGATCAACAAATGTTGTGTTAAGCTAACAATTATAAAAAATTATCTATTATTCAAGAGCGAATATATGTATAATAATATACAATATTTATCCGAATACTTGTTAAACTATATCATAAAAGCTTAGAAACATTTATCAATCTATTTTTTTTAATCAGATTCCTACAAAAGTTGAGACATTCCAACACATGTCGTAGACGATATATTAGTTAATACAACAGTATATTATTATCAAACATTCCAATATTTAAATAGTCAAAGTACAACATTTATACAATGTCAAGAAACTTTGATGAAGCCGTGAATATATATTCGCCCAATGGCCATTTGATGCAGGTGGAATACGCTGAAGTTGCGGTACGAAAAGGCTCCACAGTAGTAAGTTTTTGAAACTATTTAAAAGTAAAGATATACCGCATCCTCAAAATGGCTAAATATATACAATATTTATATTCCATACCGTACTACAAATATTCAATACACTTAATAGTTTTTTCACTATCGTACAGGTGGGCCTTCGGACTAACGAATGCGTTGTGTTGGGTGCAGAGAAAAGGGCAATAGATATGCTACAAATCGAGAGAACGTCGCACAGAATAAAAAAAATAGATGAGCATATAGCAATGACCTTTGCGGGTCTTACGGCTGATGCTCGAGTATTAGCGGGTCGCGCGCAAATGGAGGCTCAAAGTCATCGGCTAAACTTTCATCGTCCCTCAAGTGTAGAACATATCACAAGGTGTGTTTAAGATAAGATTTTCCAGATCTTTGTAACTTTGGTTTCTACAGATTTTTGGCGAAATTAAAGCAGAACTATACGCAAAGCTTTGGAAGGCGTCCGTTTGGCGTTGCCTGCTTGGTTGGGGGGTTCGATTGTGATGGCAAGCCACATCTATTCCAGACTGACCCCTCGGGCATCTACTACGAATGGTTGGCTAATACAACAGGTCGCATGGGACAAACGGCGAATGAGTACCTGCAAAAGAATTTAAAAGCAATCTGTACTACCTCAGACACAATTTCAGCCATGAAGCACGTTGTAAAAGCCTTGCAAATGGCCGCGTCTTCGGACGGCAGCTACTTTGATATGGTTGTGATCAAGTATAAGCAGCCAATTGAAATAGTCAGCACGGATAAGTTAAACTATCTGATAGAGGTAATTAAGCAGGAGAGTATTGGAAATACGACTAGAAGGCATTTCGGGCCGGTTTAAGTCCAATTTACAATCTTGGATTTGTCTGCGAAATACTTATGATCCACTTCAATTTATTGGAGGTACACAGAAATATTAAACTTTTCAATTGCCTAATAAATAAATGCTTATATTTTTACCATAAATTACCGTCTCTATAAAAATAAATTACTATAAAGGAAACAAACTTGAAGCACAGGGATTTTTAAATAGACCATAATTGAATATCAATAACCCTATAATAAAACTATTTATCTAAGACAAACTTTTTTAACAAAAAATCCTACTCAATTATACATAAAAAATGGTACATAAAAGGACATAAACAAACACTTTGCATACTGCGTAATTATCGCCACGACTGAACCTGGGCTGCAGACTGGGTTATAACATGAGAATCTAATTGTTGAGTATATTTTATTCGAGATGGACTTAAGCAAATCAGGGCTTGATTATGACATTCATATATATATATATTTAGCAAATCTAAACAGAAAGTCTAGTATTTTAAATTTCACTTCCATCGGTTGTCAACATTTCATTTTAATTATATATTTAAGTTGCAAATTCGTAGCTCATATTCTATGCTAAATGATTTTACTTTAAAATTTTTGTAGATAAGGCTCACAGACTGGACTGAGTTGCAAGCTTACATATGAAGTCAGCTTTTTACTTTTAAACAAAAAGTCGTTACAGAACCATTTTGGAATAGAATCTGTTTATCTCTACTGACCCTTGCCTTTGAAATGCAATGCAAATACTGAATCATTCAATTTCATACGTTTTTATTACAAATTTTACATTTATCTAAAATATAAAATTAATTTGAAGAGGCTTTTGTCAAAACCAATCGGAGACATTAAGAAATGCCGGCTTGGGCTTGGCATTTCATACCTTCATCGCAAACAGAACAAGCACGAAAGCTCTAGTCGGGCACCCTAAGCCCGACTAGGTAAGTTAATATATATCGAGTTTTAAAAAACACGTAAAAACCGGCATTACGACATCGAGATTCGAACCAACGTTGCCTACGCAACGCGCATCAATTCTACCAACACCGTTATTTCATAAATACAATATAATCATAGAACAGAAAACGTCCCTTCTCCGCCTGGACTCGAACCTAGAACTTGTGTGTAACGTATAACAAAAATAAAAAAATATATATATAGATATATATCGATCATGTTTTCAATCGATAACAATAAAACTGGAATAGTTATCGAATATTTGAAATAACCTACAAAAAATTTCAAGTCTCTAGCTCTTATAGATGCTTAGATCGACGCGTTCACATATACGGACTCAGCTTGTCCTCTTCAAGAATATATATAGTTTATGGGGTGCCACGATTCCTTTTGCCAGTCACATACATTTGCACCTAACCATTATACTCTGATTTTCCTTTTTAAATAGGATCCGGGCATAAAAACATCGATATATTACCCAGAGCCTCTTACTTTGTATTTGTCTTATATAATATAACAAATATAATATTTACAATTGAGTCAAATATAATTAATTTATAATATTTGTTGTGTAATACAGTAATAATTAAATATTTCGCTCAAACCTTTGATATTGATGTGACTGGATTATTTTCCTTATCAAGCCATTGGACTAGTGGCACAGGATTTCCATGAGCAATACAATGGACTGTGTTTCCAACAGTGTTTAAAAATTCAACTCTACTAGGTGGCTCCAACGAAAAACTCGGACCTTGCGTATCAAAGTAATTTGATACTTCTGAAATAAAATTTATGCTTAAAATATATATATATATCTATAGTGACAAATATCAAACTACACTAGTGAGCACTTTGCATTTGTATTGCTTTTTATTAAATATGGTAAAATAAATTCAGTGAAGCCTACATGCTTGCCAAATACAACATAAAAATATAAAAATAATTTTCTTAAATTATTCTTGCTACAATTTTCTACTCTTCATAATTTATTTATTTCATAACAGTAAATAACTATTAAAAACAAGAAAAACTTAAAATAAGTTTCATATTCGAAGAGTTGGTGATATTATATAAATGACCAATCAGTTTTCCTACTTCTTTTTACTTCTTCCTGTTGCTATTATATTGACAAGATTTTTTAATTTTCATAATTTATGTACTCTATATATGGCATCTATATTTTATACTTAACAAGTTATGTTTCAGCGTGCATACTTTTGATCGTAGACATTATACCGTATTCCTTTTGTCACCTTGTCTTAAACAATTTTATACAAATCTGCTTTTAATAAAACTGAGTACTCTTCACTCTTGTGTGCAGCAAATATCTCAAACCCTTACCTGTGCTGTACAAAGATATGCTTTTTATAAAGCCCCTACACACGTCATCGACCCGCCCTTACGAAAAGAAAAGCATCTCCCTGTGCTAAATAAAGGACAGGCCATTCACAACTCTGTAGATTGTACCGTGATAAAAGCAATCTATTAAATCTCATCTTGACTAAACAATATCTTAACATTCATTTTATATTTGCATTACAAGCACTGATATAATCTTTTAAAAGCCTACAGACTAAGTGATTATCCGAGTAAATGAGTACTAAAAATGCACTTTGTGTATTGATGTATATTGTCTCTGTGTGGTGTTTGTGTATGTACACAAAGAAACCCTATGTGAAGAACTTAACGATAATTAACAATTTGAACAATTTTAAGATAACATTTTTTGTAGATTCAATATCTTAAACAAATATCTTACCTGTGGCAGTGGCAGAAACACATAAAGTCAATACAAATAATAAATCATAAGAAGGTTTCCGTCGTGTTTCAGCTTTCCAATTCATATTGTAATTTTTTGTTAACAACTAAAGAGTTATGCAACATTTATTTCAAATACTATTGAAGTCTTTTATTCTTCTGAAATTAAAGAATAAAATAAAGAAAATTCGTAATTAATATATTATGATCATTATTATATAGATCATTTATTATTTATATAAATAATTTATCTTAGATGCTAAAAACTAAAAGATACTACGAATCTGAAGTACTTAGGGAAAACAAGTAACAGGAACAATACCCTGAACCCTGAATCTGAACCCTGTGCCACAAAGCTGATTGCAAAACTTACCTAAACCAAATTGGCCGATCGTTTTATATTTTCATTATTTTTCTGGGAAGCATAAAAAGGCATAAGTACTTTACCGCCACACATACTTACAGTCCCTCGCTCACACATATTTATGTGAATATGAGTGAAACTCTAGCTGCCTGTTGAAATTGTAAAATCATACAATTTTAAATTATTCGTGCTTCCAAGCTTGCTTATGTAAATATACATATCAATGTATACCTACTTAATTTATAAATATGTTATAAATATCGAAAGTGCGTAAAATCAGAAATAAAAAATATCCTAATTAACCGCATTATAAAGATTATTTAATTTTTTCTAGAAAAGCTTTAAGTGGGTCGGGAAATTCATATATATTTACAGGTGCCAAGATGCACAAATGCAAGCATGGGTGCAATACACAAGATCAAACTGTAGAATGTAGGCTTTAGAATATCAACAGCTAGAAGATCGCACACACATATATATATATATATATATGTATAAATATAAATAAATGAATATATATATAAATAAATATATACATATATATATGCGACTACAAATTCTTAAGATAAAAGAGAACCTAGAGTAAGCAAACATAAATTGAGCAAAGTGGGACTTCTTATAAGGATCAACCATTTCAGTTGGGCGCTCAGAACGAACTGATGTTGAGGTCCCAAACTTTTATTCATCGAACGGGAAAGTTAGGGACCCGAGCAAATACGAAGTTGTGTGGGACCTTATATCGAATTGTATGTGTTGAAAACATTTGTAGTGAAAGGTTGTATGGTTAGTGAATGTATGTACTTCAATTTGAGAAGCAATAAGTATGCTTTGAAGATTCTATCTTTTATAGGTTCCGAGACCGATGCGTTTAGACAAACTAATACAAAGGATAGACATTAACATTTTACCAAAAGCAATATAAACATATTAAATAGATTCAGTTCATCAAAATTAAAAACCCAACTGCAATTGGCCAACACATTTTGAGCACTACACCCACATTACACCGTTTTTGTTTATAAAAGCAAAACCATGATAAAAAATAAGTAATTCATATTTGAATGCTCGCATTGTGTTGATAAGTAACAATAGCAAATTATAAATAGCTGTTCGGCTCTTTCGCTCTCTTCTATGTGTTTAAGAGAGCAATATTTGAAACCGTTATAATCATTAGTTATGCATCACATGTGGCAATTTGATTATGATAATAATAATTCTTATCAATAGTGTACACAATGATGCACACGGAATTTAGCGTAGGTGAAATTTACTTAACACGTTTACAAACGATAATATTTTATAAAGCCAACTAGTTCCTTTGAGCATAGGTTCGCTTATATTAGTTAATTAATGTGAATTGTCAATGTACCGGTAAGTCAATTTCTATCAGGTTTTCACACTTGAAATGTATGTATTTTGTTTTCTTTACCACGCAAACCCGAATTGGGTTTTTTCACAAACAGGGCCACCAAAAATGTGATACATACGTGTACATGAATATGTATGTAGAAACGCAAATGTATATAGCTTTGATGGACGGCTTTTCCATCTATAAACACAAAATTTTTTCCAAACTCAGTTTTTCTGTCTTTTTGCGATAGAAAAACTCACACATATGTGTTTATGAAGGACCGACTCCGTGGACACGCTCTCGATGACTGGCACGACAGAATGCAGCTTTCACAACGAATGCCCAGAGCAGATGGTCCTAGTAGATTATGCGCACATCATCTGCGCAGATGCTGCGTGCCACTGAGCTTTCGTATAACAATATCAAATTAAAAGCTATTAGAACAAATAATTTAATATGCTAATTGGACGCTGATAAGAAAAACATCTGTTTTTGTTGATAAATAATTATGACATGTTTATTGAATAAATATTCATTCGTATACGTACGTATAAATAATTTAAAATATAGTTATTTATTTTTATAAGTTTTGTACACATACTAGAAATTTATGTATAATATATATATATATATATATACACTGACGAGCAAAACTGTAACACATGTTCAATGTTCTCACTTCAACGGTCTGTATTATCTTTTATACTTTATGCATGATTATGATCATAGTCTTGTTTTGTTAGTGAAATATTTGGCTCTTTTATTTATAAATTTGAAGACATTTGATTAGCAATAAGAGAAATACAATAGCAAAGAGTAAAAAAAGTCAAATGTTACAGTTTTGCACTGCAAATATTTTTAAACAAATATTTTTATTAAATTTTTTTTAATAACGGGTCCACAGCCCTTTTGATTTTTTGAGGTTGTTTATACGGTTTGGCATACTTTGCGTGTAGCGTCGCACCATTTCAGGTGGAATCGAGTACCAAACGTCCTTCGTTCTCTCTCACAACTCCATCCTGCCATTTGGAGGGGCCGTATATTTCGCAAGCTGCGATTTCAGATGACTCCATACATTTTCTATGGGATTCATGTCTGGAGATTGCGGTGGCCACTTCATAGTTTGAAACTTTTGGTTCAATAACCAATTTTTCACCAAATGGGATGTGTGCTTTGGGTCATTGTCTTGCTGAAAAATGCAATTTTCAACAGCCAGACCCATGTTGCCAATGACTCCTCCCAAATTTTCTTGAAAAATTTTTAGGTATTGCTCCTTACGCATTATCCCATCGATTAACAGTAAGGGCCCAACTCCATTTGTACAAATACAGCCCCAAACCATTATGGACCCGCCACCGTGCACCGCACTGTATTTGCCGATTGGACTGTGGGATTCCTAGTCCAATACCACGTCGTCCGTCTGACTCAAAACGATTAATTTTAGTTTCATCTGACCAAATAACCTTGAAAAAATTTGTTTAGCATTGTTTAAGCTTTTTATTTGTAACTTATGGCATCCCAATCAGCTAGAGCCAAATTTTCATGCATTATAGCACAGTTTCTAACGCAAACTAATGTGCCTGTTAGCTAGAAATGGTTTTTTTTTTCTTTCATTGGCCTTAAGCCCCAATCTGCCGAGACTGCGACGGACTGTCCACTCACTGGCATTTAAATTTAACACATTAGCCGCTTTTATTGGCATAAAGTCGCGATTGCCTGTAACTAAGTTAGCCAAGTGGCGCGTGTCACGTTGGCTTAAAAGTCGCGGTCGGCCTCCTTTATTGATTTTAATGTTTTCTGAACTGTTTTTGTTTTTAACACTGCACAGTCATGTGGCTAACACCAAATTTATTAGCCACTTTCCTAACGGATTCGCCCCTATCAATAATTCGATTATTTCCTTTTTCTTTTCATCAGCCATCATAATTATTTTGCAAATTGACTTAAAATGATCAAGGTTTATCGATTTAAACAAAAACAAATAAGTTTTAATGGTAAAAAAAGCTTTGAAACAAAAGTAAATAGGTTTTGCTCTGCGAGTGCAAAACTGTAACATTTGACTTTTTTTACTCTTTGCTATTGTATTTCTCTTATTGCTAATCAAATGTCTTCAAATTTATAAATAAAAGAGCCAAATATTTCACTAACAAAACAAGACTATGATCATAATCATGCATAAAGTATAAAAGATAATACAGACCGTTGAAGTGAGAACATTGAACGTGTGTTACAGTTTTGCTCGTCAGTGTATATATGATAAAATATGATATGATAAAATCTAACAACATCTAAATCCAAAATTGTGGGATTCTATATAAAAAAATTTCGAGAAACATCCAATCTTGTTTTTTTCTATAATAAAGTTGATCGGGACTTTTTTAAAGGATATATTTTGGGGTAAAGAGTAGTAATCATTGCATAGTAATTATGTTTATTTTAATAATGTAAAAGCTACAAAATTTTAACTTTTAGGAATAACAGTATTTCCATAGAGAACCAATTAGAAAGCACCAGTTGCGGATGTTTACTGTTAGAATTGGCTTTTAAATACTTTATTTTGCTTACTTTCAAATACTTACTGAAGCTCCGTTTAAGTGCCCGCCAAACTTCAGATGGGATAACAGAGCACAAGCATGTGCAGTAATGGAACTGTAATTAACATTAAAAGTTGCGGAGTCGCTCTTTGCGTAACCTACTGAGTGGTTTAACAGTCCTCTTTGCTATCTGAAGAACGATTTCTTCTCTTCTGAGAGATGAGTTCACCATAATGAAATTTTTTCATTTTCATTATTCTTTGTGGGAAGGGAAAAAAAGCGTTGATATCCATCACAAATACTATTTCACGATGATCATGCACACACACTTATAGTTCATTGTCATATGTGGTATGAACATTTATGTGCCTGTGAGTGGAGCTAGAATTTGGCGCACAGCCACATAAATTCCTGTTGAAATTGTAAAATCCTATTATTTTAAGTTGTTTGTTATATATGCTTGAAAGTAGCATAGAATGATCGGAATATGATGGGTTCAGGTTATCTCCTCCGATTAAAGCCCTTTTGTTGAAATTCAGGGTATCATTTCTTCGATTCTTTGAAGTACAAGCCTAACATTTTTTCAAATCGTTATTAGCGATAAATATCCATATGATTTCGTTTCTCAATTATACCTTAAATACAACAATAAATATTAGATGCATCCTGTGGGGGTTCCTGTAATAAATACATAGACTTTGTATATTTCCCATTTTTAATACATACCACCATACCATACCATATCACAAATACGCAAAAAAAAACTTTTTTCAAATATTAGACTTTTACGTCGTAAAATATATCATTATAACGTTCTGCTTAAGAAAGTAAGTCTAGAAGAAAAGTTATTTAAAAATGAAGTTCCCATAGTAAAGCCCATACTGCACCCCAAGCCTGCGTATGCAGGTGTGTCTGTAAAGTACTCATTATCTTGTTTTCGTGGGTTTATTTACAACTTTAATGAATTTTTTAATTTACACGATATTTGTTAATTTTAAGTTAAATTTTTCTTTTTTTTTTAAATTTAAAATTTCATGCCAGATTATATCTAAATATTCTAATATTACATATTCACAATTAAAATGTATGATGTCATAAACATAGTCACAGTTATCAATTAAATAATTTTGATGTGATCAAGATAATACCAATCAATATATATATATATATATATATATATAGTCTAATTCTATAGATAATAAAAGTTAAAATATTACTTTATAATTTAGTGCGTTTACTACTTAGATTTTCTCTTGGACTTTCGGTAGACCTTTTCCTAGCAAGACGGTTTGACTTTTCCCTGAAATTAAGATATGGTAAATAATGAACAAAAAACATAAAAAAAGCTTCTTACCCTGGCAAATTTACATCAATTCGAATTGAACCGTCATTTGTGAAAGGCCTTCCGTCACTTAAGCTTTGACCTTCTTTAGCGAAATTCGTCGGTATATTACCGATAGTGTTTAATATATTTTGTGTTGTGTTCATGGTTTTGCTTTTATAGAATGATTCGGGTAACATTTTTTTATTTAGTGTCGTCATTGACTTAGAATTGTTTGGCATTGATTCGGCGCTATTTTTGTTGGAGGTTGTTTTGTAGTCCGCGGTAGCATCTTTAACTACATTCAATGAAGCTTTCGATATTGATGATATATTCTGATGTAAATTATTCTTCAACTTGTAAATATTTGCATTTTGCATTTTATCTACATTTAAATTGGAAGAACTTTTTTGCAAGGCCTGCCTGCGGGATTTGGGTTTCTCTGTTAATGAGTTAACAGCAGTGAGACTTATGCTGGGAGATATTTCATTAAGTTGCTTTGTAATGCTACTTGTACCCGGAGGACTTGTTGTTGGTATTATTTGCATTTCCGAATTTCTTTTTAGATAATCTTTTGAAATGGATGGTGCGGCGCCACTGGGATATACTGACGCAAAATTCACCGCTCCCTTTAAGGGCGTCGTATGTTTTACTGCAGCGGCAGTCACCGACTCAGATCCTAACGATGATTTATTAGTATCAATTGAACTTGTGGTAAGTGTTTGATGTTTCTTTAAATTCACCGAATTCTTTGAAAGTGGACTACTGACTGGTACACTAACTGGCGATGAAGATGTAAGATCAACTGAGCTCACAATTTTCGGATCAACGGTCTTGGTTTTAGTTGTTTTTTCTTTCATATTCATACTCTCAAGTGCATCTAGTGCCTTGTCTGGATAAAGCATATTGGGGAAGGCATTAAGACCTCCCTTTAAATTTGAATGTAAGTTGTCAGCTTGAGCAGGTGAAATGTACCCCTGAGGGGTATAATTTAATATATTTGATAGCGGGTTTTCAAGCAACTGCTTGTAAGGACCTAAGCTTGCAAGAACATTATTTGAGTTGGAATTCGCTGATGAATTTTCCAGTGATGTAGTTTCTGAAGGAATCGGATGGGGAAATTGTGAATGATTTATTGTGCTACTTCGAGCTTTTTGTGTATCAAATAAGTCTCTACCCTGTGATTTAGAATTTGTAAGGTTTTGCATATGTGATAGAATCGATGGATTTGATGGAAAGCGATTAAGACCTGGCGTACTGAGAACGTTGAGAGGAGATGGACCAAAGCTATTTTCATTTAAGCAAGAGTTCATGTCTGAGTAACGCAGAGATGCATACTTTTGATAAAAATTTAAAGCATCTACATAATTTTGATTTAATCCATAACTGTACGTTGGCATAAGTGACGCCGATTGTAGACTGTAACTTAATAAAGTTTGCATCTGAAAGGGATAAAAGATGTTGAGAATAATAGATTGCAATACTTAAGTGCTGAAAATTTATATATATTATATTGTGCACCAGCAAAACACTTGGTATGCCACAATATAAGTTGAATTTCGTACTTATTTCTGACCTCAAAACCTCTAAATTTAATTTGAATTTGTTTAAATTTACAGATTTAAGCCTTTTTTAAATATTATGACTTCCAAGGAGTAGCAGATTACAAATTACAGAGAACAAATAACAAGATGATTAATCCAGAATAGTACTTACATCAAGACTCGGAACAGAGCCCAAATAAGATGCCAGTTTTGCGGGAGGAATAGAATTTTGTATCCTGCATCAAATTTTATGTTAATTGCGTGTGAATAGAAACAATAAAACTTTAACTTACTTCTCGGCATTTAATCCTTCCTGTTGGGCTAGTAAAAAAGTTTTATATTAAAGGTAACAGACAATAGTCATTTTGTAACATACCCAAGTTCATTTGCAATTCTCTTTCATATGTATCCCAAGCGTCAGCTTTTTCTTGTTCACTTAATTCTTGTTCTACTTTATTTTCCAACAAACTGTCGTGCTCGTGATATTTATAAACCAACTCTGATTGACGTAAAAGATGTGCTAATATGGTATCCTTTGGTAATACAGGCATTGTCCTTTCGCATTGTTTGGGGACAGTTAACCTTCATATTAAAATATAATTATAAACTTAAATACTGCATATAAAAATTTAATTTAATAATAAACATTTACGTGTATAGTTCAGCCAACTCAGCCATATTGTAATGTCTATCAATTTGCTGCTCATCGACTACTCGAAAGCTCATTGCTTGTTTTGTAACGGATCGTGAGTAGACCTTCTCTTCCATTGTTCCCTGTGTAATATTATTGTTTATGTATATTACCTTTAAACATTTTCAAACATACCATTGCTAGTAGACGGTATATATAACAGTTTTTTTTTTGGCCCAGTCTAAATATACGAAATATATTCTGCTGATCGTTAGAAGGATTCCATGAAGTATCCAGAATTATAACTCTATTTGCACCAATTAGATTTATGCCCTGGCCTCCAGCCTTGGCAGATATCAAAAAAACGCGAGCTCTTCTGTTAGCTTCACTGTTAAAACGTTTTATCATTTCGTGTCTAATATTTTTCGGTGTTTTTCCATCTAGCCTATAATAATCTTGGCCATTAATCCAAGTATTTGAAACTTTATAACTTGTTGGAATATCTGCAAAAATTAAAATAAAATTATACATATAAGCTTCAAAACAAAAGTAAAAATTAATTTTTGAAATTTATACTATTAGTTTTAAATAAGTTATATCAGTATACTATTTGGTTCAATTTTCCAAATAGTTTTCAAATAAATATTTCAATAAAACTGTGTCTTTTTAATAACTGACAACATTTGCCAGTTGTCCTGAAAACTAATATAAGATATAGGAAAGCAATTTCTCATTATATTAAAGGAAAGTTTTGTGAGATTATAATTCACTAGTATATACAAAATATATGAAAAATTTAATTTTTTAATTTCGTTCTCAATTGAATCTACAAAATTATCTATTGGTTTTTTGACTATTATTTATACCGCTATAAAAAAAAGCAAGAATTAGAGAACTCTTTCTGGTGCGAAACTTATGATATTGTCCATAAAATATATAAATATTTTTTATCAACTTACGAATGTGCTGTAGTATTTCAGTATCCGATTCTGTTATTTTTTTAAAAAAATATTCAACCACATTAAGTACTGCAACAAAAGCCGAGAAGATCAAGCTGAAAAATACCAATAACAAATAAGATACCCGCTCACAGTTTAATTATATCGTAAGAGCATTAAAACACTCCTAAATTTTATATGTTTACACTTGAAAAAAAAAAACAAAACTTGCAAAATAAATATATATTATATATACATATGTATATAAACAGTACTGTACCAAATATATCACTTTAAAGCTTGTAATTGAAAAAGTTTTATGAATTGTGTATCATATCACTGAAAAACAAGTAAAAATTTTGCAGTCGGAGTTACCGACTGTATAATAATCATTCATGATCTCAATGCTGCCAGCTCCACAACTTTAGAAGATATAATTGTTTCCAATTTAACTGGTGCGTATATATAATTTTTGTGAAATCAATATAGGACGTTAAAAGTAATTTAGCTGTTAGATTCCGAATTTATAACGCTAAAACTGTAGAAGATATGGCTTGCATTAATACAAACAGACGGACAGACAGATTGTCGAACGGAAAATAAGGCGGACATTAAACAAAACCAATATACTCTTCACTTTCTTGAATGAAATTCTGATAAGTTAATATTTCTGTATTATATCTATTTTAATTATATTATAGGTTGCATACCATTTTTCGCCTTTTTCTTCGCACATACGAAGAATCGAAAACATTGTTCGAAGTTTATTACTAGGCATTATTGTCTCCAGATCTTTTTTTGAAAGATATTTTCGCCACCAATCATTAGTCACAGAAATCACACCAGTTTGACTGTCATAAATATCATCCGGCTGATCGTCGTCAGAATGCGGACATCCATGTCTTTTGTTATCTTTTTTATTTTTTTGCTAAAAATTAATTATACATATATTTGCCATTATTGACTTAGATGCTTCACTTACAACGTTAGCATTCTTCCACGCGTCTTCAAGAACTTTAGGGTGTGTCCAAATCTTTCATTATTAAAAAAAATATTACTAGTTAATATTAATTTTAAAAAATAAGAATATTACCTTTCTTAAAACAGTATAATCGGTGATGAGACTTTTTCCTCGACTATCTCCACGACTGGCTATAGCTTCTAAAATAAATTCATATAGAGTGTTCTGTAAAAAAAACATGATTAATATGTGGCTAAACAAAATTAACTTACCAGCTAATTAGAAATTGAAAAAACTTATTTTGAAATAAATTTACATACCTGAACCTCAGTCATGGGTATAAAAAGAACATATTCAAATTTTTGCGGTAAAAAAGTCTTCAACAGTTCAGCTTCCTTTCTCTATAATGCAAAAAGAAAAAACTTTAATTGAATTACACAAAGTATCTGACATGTTGTATAAATAAAAATCTACAACTTTAAGACAACACAACTTGTTCATTGGAAAAAAATACAAGCAACTTGTCTTAAACTTACAGTGGTATATAAAGTTTATATTTGGAAATTTTGATTAGTATGATTGCAAACTATTAAAATCTTGAATACCTGTACAAATTTTGATAATTTTTTGTGCAAGACATACGATCTTTGCTTCATAACTGTAATATCCTTTTTGCCTGAATCCTTGTGTTGTCCATTTTTTATTGGATTCGCATATAAATTGGCAAATTCCTTTTCTGTACCGAGGTATAATGGCTTTATAAAGTTAACCATACTGTAATCTGCAATAAAAAAGAAATGTAGCTTGATATAATAATGCTATCCGCAACTGTTGTCACAAGGTATACAAACATTCTTTTAAATTATTTTGAATTGGAGTTCCAGTTAAAATAATTCGCTTTGGAGTTATGATTTTAGCGACAGCTAAACTTATAGCGGACTTGCTATTCTTTATAATATGACCCTCATCGCAGACCACAAGATCCGCACCTAAAATAATTCATGTTAATTTACTTTATTTCTTGTGATACTTCAATTTAAATTACCAGGTTGCAGTAAATATTTGTTTACTTTTTCTCGAATACTCTCCAGTTTTGTAGAACTTAAATTTCCTCGGTTTTTATATGAGTGATAGAACACAAGAGTCCGGAAAGCTTCATATCCCACCAATAAGCAACCAGCTCGGTTAACAGATGACAACGACCAATCTTCCAATACTCGTAATTTATCTGAAATATCACTAAAGTAAACATGTTAGAGTGCTCTAGTCGATAATGATCAACGAGGAAATACCCTGAACCCTCTGCGGAGTAGATATTCGAATCATTGTACGATTCTTTTATACATACATTACAAACAACTCATGCCAGGCACGCATATTTACGCGCTCTAATTACTGAGCAGTTATAGCAGCAATTGAACTTGAGCTGCTACTTTCCCTAGATAAACTTTCTGAATCAATCGTTTTTAGAGCGTGATATATACCGAAACACAAGTCTCTAGTATATAAAACTATAGATAATAAGCAAAGGACGGGCGGCGGACAGACGGAACTAGATTGACATTAATCATTTACCTGATCAAGAAAATATATATTACTACTGATGGGGTGTGACACCTTTTGTTTTACCAGTTACGTATATTTTTACAAAACCATCATACCGTTAATTCCCATTATCAATGGAGATACAAAAAAAAATCCATACAGTTACCAAACGCAAACTATCATTTCTATTCCATATAAAACGTTAAAAATATATATATATATATATATATATTTATATATATATATTATATATTAATATATTATATATTATATATATATATATATATATATATATTTATTTATTTATTTATATATATATTTATATATATTTATTTTTCAAAATTAGAACTTACGATGAATCCGGAAAAACGAAAACTTTTATATGAGTCTTGCTTTTCAGTGGCCCCAACCAGCGTTGCAGTTCATCAGCCCAATTCATAACTGTACTCTTAGGACACAGAACTAAGACTTTGGTTGTATTCAGTTCTTTGTATGAAATAACGGTGTGCAGTAGAGCTATTAACTAATATATATACATTTAAAAATCATCATTTGTGTCCATAATTTTTATTCAATGATGCTTCACCTGTAAAGTTTTTCCAAGGCCCATGCAATGAGCCAAAATGCATCCCGAACCAGAGTGTTTTTTAGAGTGATCAATTCCTCCATAGCATGAATCATACATGAACTTAACTCCGTCGATTTGATGTGGCTTCAATTGTTTCACGATGTCGTCATCGACCTTTATAAATGTTTTTGTGCTCTCCATGTAATCAAGTATTAAATCACCTTTTTTGGAATTTCCAGATTTGTTTTTTATTGCCTTCGATAGAATCACATGTTTTTTTTCCAGCCTTCGTATCCTCTCACTTTCTGATTTTTGAGCAGCTCTTGTCTCATTAGCCAACTGATCCATACGAAGCATTGGTTTAATAAATCTCGTTTTTTCTTCAACTGGCTCTGGCTCAACATCAGAATAATCACTTTCTGAACTAAGAACAATTTCTTCGTTTTGATTACGTTTTTCCGCTTCACATAATAATTTCTCCAATGATTTCTTGGATTTATTTTTGTTAATAAAGTTATCAGTCGAGAGTACTTCAAAACTATCAGATTCTTTGTTCTCAGATTCCAATTTAGTTTCATTAGTTTCATTAATTTCATCGTCCTTATTATATGGTTCGCTTTCAAAAACTTGCAAAAATTTGTCCACCACATCTCCCTTATTCTCATCTTCAGTTGAAGATTCTTTTGAGAGATTGTATTCGCTTTGATCCGAAAGACCAGAATCACTGTTTGACTCATTTAATAATTGCTGTTTGATTTGCTCGTTAAATCGTAGCAGGTATTGATTCTCCGTTATAACCTCATCTTCACTCTAAAAAATAAGGGTTTGAGTAAAAAATTTTCCATTAAGAAATTCAATTCTAAAAGTAACATTTATCCATATTTTGTTTTAACTACATACAAACTCACTTCTTTGAAACTATTTTCAGTATCGTACATCTCCAAATCATCATCCAATACAGTAGGCATATTCGCAGCTTTAGTACCCACAAATTTTTGATTAATTTTATCATTCGATTTGATTCCCCTGTTTTGGGTATGTCGCTTTTTAAGTCCATTTAAATTGGTGAGCCTATTAATTACAAAATATTATTATGAGGCATTAAAATTAAAAAAAATATTAAAAGGTATTTTTAACAAAACATTGCTGCTATTTTATATTTAAATATTTCCATTTTTGACGATGCTTAGTATTCGATGTTATTGTCGATTTTGGTGATTCTAGCTCTTAAAGCTTACGAGATTTACTCTGATAACTAAGGTTCGATGTTGTGTTTAAATTATGTCAAAAATGGATAATAAGAGGAAGAATTAGTTAATCCGATCACTCCAGATCGACATATTTTTATAACATTTTGAGATACAAACCTTTCTATTTCTTTATCCGTATTATTTTCGGAAGAACCTGAATTTGTGTTGTCATTGTCAAAATCACGAGATGTTTGCCAAAAATTACTATTGTTAAAACCTAAATTAATATATTTACTAAGATCAATACCATCGCTGTACTCAAATTCTCTTTTCAAACTATAAGTTTCATCCAAAGGTTTGGCTAATAAATTTCGATCTTTTGGATTTTCGTCTTTGTTAGGACCATCCAAACTTTCACATTCACTCTCTGTAGTAGAGGTAGCAGATGTATCTAAGAGATACTTTTTGGCGTTATGATTAATTCTACGCCTTTTTTTTAGCGAACCTTTTGAAAATGTTTGAATAGATTGATCAGATGTTTTATTAATATTGGCAACTATCTTAAGTTTTTTAATTTTTTCAAATATATATTCTTTGAACTCTTCTTCTGTTTTTGAGGATAATGATTTGCATTCATTATAGAAATCCTTTACAAAATCAATTGTATTCGTTAAAATAGTACTTAACACACTTTTATTTTCAGCCATGTGCTTATAAAGGCTTTCAAAATATTCATCACTGCCCTCAACTTCCAAGGGTTCTGAACAGTTTTCTGAAAGAATCGTGTTACTCCGAGTTAGACATTCATTAAGAGGATTTTCATCAGCTTTCTTATCGATATTTTTTAATTTAAGCTGTTTCATTTTATCAATTGTATCATCTATGAAGTTTGTGACATTTTCTGGAATCGTTTCAACAATGGATCCATTGGTTATAATGTAACTCAGAAGCACATCTTTAACATTATCCAACTTAGGTTGACTTAACACTTCTTGAGATGTATAGTTATGATCATTTAAGGCATCCGAAAATTCCAAATCATTCTGTGTATCTTGTTCAACATCTTTCTGCAATGCACACATTTCTCCAACGTTGATGTAACTTGGGGTAAGTTCATCGCTGATTCCTTGAGCTGTCTCGACTTCCACTTGACATATTTGCTCCATTGGCAAATCCATGAATGTGGTCTCTGTTATTTTTTCATCCTCAAAAGTGATTTCGCTTTTGATGTGCAGGTGGTCCTTTGACACTGTACCTCCACCAATTAAATCGGATTGCAATAAATTCACATTCTGTATAAAATCCATTTTTAAACCTACAACATAATGTAAAAGTATGTTATTTCGTTTGTCCATAATTCCACAATGTTATGATTCATGTAAAACTAAACAGGAAGCAATAGAATTACCATACTATATATACCATATATATTATAGTAGACAAATATTAAAATTCTCTTTAATCTAAAAAACTGTTTTCAATTTTGTAGGTAAACAAATGCAGACTTTATCTGATATGATGAATTATTTTGATAATGGCGATGTGCGATACATTAATATCGATAGCTTAGTATTTTCGTGTATACTTATATTACTGATACCAAATATCGCTTTCAAATATCTAAGCGACTAGCACGAGTAAAACTGAACCAATACAAAATGAAGCAAAAACCTAATTAAAAAGATAAATTAAACATCATTGCTAACTAAAAGTGAAATTAAAATTATATAAAGCCTTAAAAAAATTAGTAGCTAAGTCTTAGCCCCAATATAAGTCAAATCTTTATCAATGGGCTTCCTTTATTTCAGATCGTAGAAATAATAATTATTGAACAATCACAGATGCTGCATCATTTAACAGCTAATTGTAATTATGAACAGCATACTCGGCAATATAAATATTATATAAAATGAACATAAGGAATGCCCCAAATAATTGATAATATGAATTTGTATTAATTGCAACATCGATAGTTCGATATCGATAGATAGATAAGTCAATTTTAATGTTATTACTCGGTTTGTTACTTCAAGTTTCTGCTTTAATTAAAGACAACAATTAGTTTACGTTTATTTTAGCAATGAAGAAAAAGCAATTGGAAAACTATGAAGAAAAAATTGAAAAGAAATTCAATTCGTTGCGATTTCCACCTAGAGGAATACCAAAACATGTCCTCAGTCGCTCACTAAAAATAGTTAACGATTCAAATGATAAATTTTGGTTAAAAAAAAACTTATCATGTGCCTCACCAGTTCACTATGAACTTCACAATCATTCCGATGCTTACAAAAAGTTAAATTTAGCCCGAAAATGTATGTTAGGACGAGACTGGCATAATTTGGCAAAACTGTTAACATCCAACCTAGTTGGCGATCGCTTAACACAAAAAAGTTCATATCCCGTATTTTCAGAAGTAAGTATACTACTTTATGTACAGGATGAAAAATGAAAATTAACTTCTTAAGCTGAATGTTTTATATACTTAAGCATGCAACTATTACCGCACTGCATTACAAAACGAACATTCTCAAAAAACACTGATGAGGCCAGTGCTCGAAATATCCAAAAACGAATTACACAGAATCCACGTTAAATGGCTACTTAGCTAAGCTATCAGTTGAATTCATTTAAAATTACTATAGATTTGGAATTCCTACTCTAAGGCCTACAGGATGAAAAATGAAAATTAACTTCTTAAGCTGAATGAAATTTAATTGTTTTATATACTAAAGCATGCAACTATTACCGCACTGAATTACAAAACGAACATTCTCAAAAAACACAGATAAGGGCAGTGCTCGAAATATCTAAAAACGAATTACAAGGAATCCACGTTAAATGGCTACTTAGCTAAGCTATCAGTTGAATTCATTTAAAATTACTATAGATTTCGAATTCCTACTCTAAGGTCACTTTTTTAGACCCCTGAGTCTAAATAGATGAAAGAGCTCTATCAGTAATTCCCTAAAGACCTTAGACTTGCCTTGGCGACGCATCGCTGAAGCAAGTAGGGCGCAAAGCCAACCCAAAAAATGGAACCGATATAAGAAAGAAAAAAAATTTCATAATGCAAAGACTCTAGCTCCAAGACGTACGAGATAAAAACTGATTTTCGATAATAGGTAACTTTAAAACGGGAATAATTTATTTTAGCAACTTTTAAGTCGACCTCTTATATGTTCAGAGATCGACCCCTTCATATACGCGGTCCGACTCAGCTCATATATATAATAGAAAATATAATGTATCGGGTCTGCCACGCCTGCTTGTCTGATATATACATTTACGCAAACCCATTACACCCTGATTTCCTGTTTTCAATGGGTTCAAGGTAAAAGAAAAGAATTACTAGTTTCGTAAAATTTTTGCACTCGTAAAAAAGATCATTAATATTTTCAATTAAAAATTTAAAGATATTTTAAATATTGTCCTAAATTACAGTTACGTTATTGGCATTAATTTCAATAAAAAGATATATACTTTTTTTTGTCTATCTAAGCCGCTTTTAAAATTGATGTTTTTAGCTGTTCTTCATTGGTATGCAGTTTTTCTGAATTTCTATTGGGAATAGCTTTTACATATATTTTTGATGTTGATGCAGACTATTTAATCCATCTAACTGATATTAAGAAACAGTTTTTTATTAAAAGTTTATTATTAAAAAGTGTTTTAAATTACGAAACTATCTACATTATTTAAAATTTAATTTTCTTTTCAGTATGTCTCTATATTTTTAACGTTGGAAGATCCCGAACTATTGCTAAAGCTACAAAGGACTATTATACCATCTACATCGCAACCCCACAACAAATCTACAAAACTTGAAAATGCAGAAATATAGTATAAAGAAATGTTTATTATAAGTAATAATATAAATATATAATTACATTATTAACCATTTCTTTTATATTAAAGGTTACCGATTCGTTCTACAAGAAATAATGTAATCCGTATTATTCAACAATAGGGACATATATATAAAAATACCGACACTAATTTCTACGACCCGATAGATTATTCTTCTTGTCGTGTTCATCTAACATTAAACTGAAGGTAGATTATCCCATGTAGTTCTAAAGCACAAAGCATTGCCTAGAATTTAAAGGCTGCCCTGCACTTTTAGCGGTATCCATCCCTTTTCGTTCACTCCGTTTAATTGTGCATGGCTTTCACACCCGACTCCACATTCTTGATCCCACAGGAAACCAATTCAATGCTGAATTTTTTTTGACAGTATTTCGTTGACAGTTTGTTAACATACTTGTGCCTTTTCTTTACTTACTCGGAATTTCATTGCAAGTTTAACACTTACAAAAATGTTAGAATCACTTTTAATCTCGGTACTAAGAAAATCGAAGGAAAATCGATATCTTAAGCGCATATGTTAATTTTTTTTATCTATAATGCCAAACTTATGATGATATTTGCTCGATCAAGATTGGAGTGTTTAATATTTTTAAGCCTATTAAAAATTAAGCATTTTGAATTCTCATGCTCAATTAGTCGACAAGTTAAGTGAAATATATATCCGGTTATCTATTTTCGTTTCGACAATTACGTTATATTTTACATTCGCTTTTGACTGTAATATTTAGATTGTTAGTATGATGTGTTAAAAGGTGCACTGTTGGCAAAACGATAAACATATATAAACTTAGGTTTATTTTCAAAGAACGTATATTAATATTGTATTGAATAAAATACTTGATTAAATATTATGTTATTGCTCCTAAATGTAATCATGTTCGTGATGTGTTTAATGATTAGTTATGCACAGAGTTTGTATCCGTAGCGTAGTTCACACTGAAAAGCACAATTCCTTTCATCTCGTGTCGGCCGTGCCCCGATTAGCCCATTAAAAAAGTACGTATACGCTAAAATAATCAAGGTTTAAATAAAATCGAAGATCCATAATTCATTAGTATAGGTCTTCTTCCATGGAGAAATCTGATGTTTCTCCAGCATAGAGTGAACTGAAATGAAGTGAATATATTTACATATATAGTAAACATTTTTTAAAATTCATTCTTGATCGTACTTTACGGCGCGACTAGTAAAGAATACAATGCGCTTCAACTTCTTGTTGTAGAAGAAATAGTTGAAAGACCATAAACAGCCAGGTTCCCCAAACGGATCAGAGCTTAAGTCCGGATTATAGCTATATATATCGCATTCCGACAAGTTCACCTCATCATCTACGGCCGACCACAAGGGCTGACGCAGAACCTGGTACTGATCTCCAGCTAAGGCTGATAAATTTGAATGAACGGAATTCATAACCCATGGCAAAGAAGGTTCTTTGCTAAACTCATGCGACTAAAAAAAAAATAAGAATATGTTGTTACAAAGAGATTTTCAATGTATCATAGAATTCTTTTCGAAAATACCTTTGCATCTGAAAAATCGTAATCAGGTTCAAATGACGCATTTAATGTTGCAATCAAGTAAAATAAAGTTTTGCGAGATATTGTGTCACATAAAATTACGCCTTCATCGCCCGATTGACTGTTGTTGCGATGAAAATTTGGTGAAAGATCCGACAATGTTTGCGGAGGCGATAACGCTTGTAAATCATGGCCGTGCGTCTCCGCTGTAAATCGTTTGTACAATACCTTCTCGGCTGCAACCATTTTGCTAGAAAAAAATTAGATATATATAAAAGAGATTGTAAGATACCTTATCTGGATTTTCAGATATATGCAAAATGATGACTTCGACCTCATACTATATCAAAAAAAGCGGTTCTAATTTCAAAACTGTGAAAAAATAACTTTTTGTGATTTGCGACACCATATATTTTTAATCGGGTATCATATTTAAATTTCAACTATCGCTTCGGTAACGCATTCGGGGCGTTTATATATAGCAAGCAAAATACTCGATTAGAAGGCTGATTTGCAGGTGTCATAATACGAAATAACATAATAGGAGGGCGAACTTTAGCTAAATAAAATAGTTTCATATAAACTTTCTTCTTGACATTTTTCCAGTCAGAGTCGTTGCCTAAAGATAACATGAAAAAGAATTAATTTTATTATTTGAATTATGGAGGCAAATGATAGATTTTTTACAAATTCTTTTCAATTAAATTTTTAATTGACGGTCTCAGTTTTGCAAGTGCCTTTATACATATTTATATTAAATATTAAAAATTAATTAATTGGAAATTTCATACCAGGAGTAGCTTTCAATTCGTCCAAAAATTGTTATTCCGCCAGTTTGTATCGAGAGCGCATTATTGATAGCTTCGAAACGCGAGCTCTCTAGCAACTTCATCTTGGTTTCCAGCAGTTTCACTCGCAATCAGTTCACCTTCAAGATTGTCTCTATGAGCAATATCTTTCGAGTTGTGTAGCCTATCTAATAAGACAACCAACGTAGGAGGCGTTTTTTGAAACGATGATTATTAGTATTCCAAATCAATCAATCAATATATAAAAATTGATTCAATGGTCCTTAGGCGCTTTGCGGTCTTTTTGAATATATCGGCGTCTTGATGTTTCTCGGTTGGTTTGCTCTTGATGAGTGCATCGCCCAGAATGTAGTTGTTTGAAAAATTGTACAATTTCTGAACATGGTATCTGGATGGACTGTGATTCTCTTTTTAACTGCCACTTTTTTCTCGACTTTATAAATATGCTGCAGTCTGCACTGTTTCATTAACATTACAGTTAACCGAATTTCCTTTAAATTTTATTTGATTGCTGGTACTGTTTGGTGCCGCTAAATAGTGTTCTTTGTTTTGCTATATTTTTGTTTGATTATTTAATTATTTTTGTTGTATAACTTTGCATAGATGCACACATACATATGGATTTATTTGTGTTTTCTTTCTAGCTGTGCATGTGTAGATTCATACATACGTCTTGTTCCGCATAAGCATTAACATAAGCCTATATATGCATATGTATTTATATACTAAACACTTCTGTGTATACTATAAAGGTATATTTGTTTTTATTTTCGAAAGTGCTTGCAATGACCTTCGTATTCAGGAATACGCAGATATAAATATGGCGTCGAAAATTCCCAAAAAGACGCCGACTCTTGTTTGATTTATTTTGTTAAACAATTTCTTTGTGATTTTAAGCACTTTAATTTAAAAATGTTCAGAATCCATTAAACGAAACATATTTGAATATTCCATTTGATGCTTTTAGATTTACATTAGCTACACAAATATATCGAGCTGAGAATGGAGCTAAATTTTTCTTTTTATCTCTTTAGTTTTTTTTACATTAGTCTTGTCTGCTGAACACAGGTTTCATTTATATGCTGATAGTATTTAATTGGTGAAAACTGAAATATACTAAAGAATATCGAAAAGTATTTTTACATATTTCGCATACATTATTTCGTCAAGATAGCGCACGCAACTTATATTTATCAGACTGTAACATTATATACGACGACAAATAATTCAATATAACATTGTAAGTCTTCAAAGTTCAAATAAAGGATAAATTATTCAAATTGCAATATACTTAGAAAAAAAACTCATTTCAATATGAGACAATTAAAACCAGCATTAGGCTGCAATTGGGCTAAAGTGCTAAAGAATTGGCAATTTTAGTATATGTTTATCCGTATAAACTAGAGTTAAAAAGTTTTTTAAATCGATTGCCGTACTATTTATGGAATGACAATTTATCAAGAGAGTCTCTCTTGAGCTTATTCATCGACTATATATAAATATTTTATTGTAATCTAAAGGAAGGCAAGTAAATAGTTGTTGAAGATAGATGAAAACGGTCATCGTTTCTAATTTCAAAAGATTTTTGGAGACACCTGTGAATGCTTTCGTCATATTTTAAAGGAGACTTAAAATTAATCTTTACCAGCTTAACCATTTATTTTTTATTTACCTTTACAAATGATATATTTAAAGTCAAATAAGATTTTACTATAAATGTATTTCAACTAAATCTATCATTAATCAGATGTGTATGACGAACTAATATAGAACTTACGGCAAAAAACGAACAAATGATAATTAGTCTGATGCAAGTAAACGAGCGATACTAAGACTAAAACCAACAGAACGACATAGAATAACGATAGTATGGAACATTGTTAATGAGCTCATTGCAATGCGTTATCGAACTTGTTCAGAAAAAAAAACAATTCAACTCTAATAAATATATACTCAATAAATGTATCGCAATCGGATAGATGAATGAATAAAAAATTATAAATTATAATTTTATAAAGTTAACAGTGGATTGAGTAAATCAATGTTTAATATTGTGTGAATTGTATTTACGTGTGGAAGTCTATACTGGCATTTATCAAAGTAGACACAAAACCATTGGGTGTTGCCCCAAATAGTAGATACATTTTGCATTATAAGAAGTTCATGTAAATTCAAGTAACTGTCAAATGAAGTTAAAAAAAATACTATCAAATACATATGACTTCATAACTACATGCTAATACTTATATGTGTACCTATGTAATGAATTTCAGATCAAGAATTTTGTATATAAGATGGCGGAGGGAAACACTGGAACTACTACAGAGGGTGCCGCTGCTTTGGCTGCCCCACATCCCAACGCTGAAGTAATCAGGGGACAAATATTTGAAGTTGGTCCCAGGTATAGGAAACTAACATATATTGGTGAAGGAGCATATGGAATGGTGGTGTAAGTATACTCCTAATACACATTAGATATACATACATAAACCTTTGAAGCCCTAAGATTACAGTTTACTTGTCCAACGCGCAGTATTTTGATATGTACATGTATATGCATGTGTTTCAACAAATGTACATACCACCATACAACTCACTATTTACTTACTTTATGTAGTTTAGTTAAATGTTGTGAACTTATCAAAACTAACCAAACAACTAGACTAAGATAAAAGATTAGAACATATATGTTCTTACACTTTGACATTTTATATATTTATATGTATATAAGGAAATGTTCTTACTTGAATCAAGTTTTCCGCTACTCAAAACATTAGATATGACAGATTTGCACTTGATTGCCACGCCCACGAGTACGACATACAACAAATTAATCTATAAATTTATTTATATTTTAATAAATAATTTTTTAATTTAAGAGCTAGATTTATTTTAGTAAACCTCTATATTTTAAAAGCTTTTAATCTTTAATTGTGTATCTCTTAAAGATGTAATTGAATTAATTTTCTTGCTTGGTTTTGATCGTTTGTTTTTTAAATCAGTAAAACCAATCAAAAACTAACATCATCCGGAATACGGAAAAAACAACGTTTTTAAGAAAACAAATCTTACCTATTTTAAGCAGAATTACATTTTATGAATTTCTTTATGATCGTGTCATCCTGTGCATAGATTTTGAAATGGTTTAGTAATTGATAAATAAGGAAATATTTTTCTACTTTTACTGTGATGTTTTGAGATAACATAATGTATATTGTTGAAAACTAAGTAAACAAATATTTATTATTGGTCGAAACTGCACGAGACCAGACTATGGAATCTATGAAGTATATTAAGATAATGTATTAATATAAATTTCAATATGTGGCGCAACGAGGCATCAACCGTTTAAAAAGTATATATATATTCTTGATCTGTATGACGAGCTTAGTCGATCCAACCATGTCGGTCTGACTGTTCGTATGCATGAGCGCCTCGATCTCAGAACCTATAGCTTGAAATTTTGAGAGAGCTTGTTTCTGAAAAATATATGTCGGAGATTCAGTATAATTGTTTAGATTGTTTTGTTACCACACCATCACTTTCTTCACCTATCGACAATAAACAAAAAGGTCTAATTTTTTACCATAGACTAAAATTAGTCTCTCGATTTGCTTTGCAATTTGCTGCGAGTTGAATATCAGCCAGAAGTGTATTGCCAACATATTTCAACCATGCCGTTTTCTTACTCGCACTTGCAAAACAAGGCAAATAAAGACAGGACTAATTTTAGGTCATTATTACAGATTTCAGCATCTATGTTCAGTAAACAGTAACAGATAAACCAATAATAGTTCTCGCATTTTTTATACATTGAACCCAATGGGAATTCAGAAATTTGCGTGGCAGATCATATAAAGTATATATATTCTTATTCAGGATGACCGAGTCGGTCTAGCCATGTCTGCATAGTTCTTTGAAACCACAAAGGCTGGAGACTTAAAATTTTAATATATACTCATGTACCCGATGCGATGTAGGTCTTTATCTATAAAATCGATACACTAACTTAGTATTTAAGTAGAGATTTTGAATATTTCGGATTTTGGATACATCTCACGTTCTACATAATAATGGTCTTACTCTACATTTTATAATTATATATTGTTATGTTCACTTACAGATCTGCTGACGACATGTTGACAAACCAAAGAGTTGCTATCAAAAAAATTTCACCCTTTGAGCATCAGACGTATTGTCAACGAACGCTAAGGGAGATAACCATTTTAACCAGATTTAAACACGAAAATGTAATTAAAGTATGCAATTCTGGTTCATTTTAACTATGCTAAACATTTTTTCATTTAGATTATTGATATACGTGACATCCTGCGAGTAGATAGCATAGAACAAATGAGGGATGTATATATTGTACAATGCTTAATGGAGACTGATCTGTATAAACTACTTAAAACTCAGGTGATTTTAATTATAAATGTTTTTAATGACCGTGCTATTTTTGATAATAGATTGATTTGTCTTACTGTAATTGTTGATTCGGTTCCTTTTCGTTTTCAAAAGTTTTTTTTCTAATATATAGGACGAGAGAAAAAATTATTATATACAAACTGACTTCCTCATTCTTGCTGTTTATTATAAGTTCTCGTTATAAGTTATAAAAAAACTAGCTAATACAATTTTTCAACTTTGACCCAAGCTTGTTTATTTTTGCGCTAAAACAGTACTAACTATTTTTTATTTTCAGAGGCTGAGTAATGATCATATCTGTTACTTTCTGTATCAGATATTGCGTGGCTTAAAGTATATCCATTCGGCAAATGTTTTACATCGAGACCTTAAGCCGAGCAACCTTTTGTTAAATAAGACATGCGACCTAAAAGTGTGTATACTTATAATTAATTTTTTTTTTGTGACATGTTACTTATACAGTAAAAATTTAAATGTTATTCTTATGTAGATTTGCGACTTTGGCTTGGCACGAATTGCTGACCCAGACCACGACCATACTGGTTTTCTTACAGAATATGTAGCAACAAGATGGTACCGAGCACCTGAAATTATGCTTAATTCAAAAGGATATACAAAATCCATCGATATCTGGTCTGTTGGATGTATTTTGGCCGAAATGTTAAGCAACCGGCCAATATTTCCGGGAAAACATTATCTTGATCAACTCAACCATATTCTTGGCGTGCTAGGATCTCCATCACAGGAAGACTTAGAATGTATTATAAATGAAAAGGCAAGGGTTAAGACAACATTAATATATGACTGATTGCTAATAATTGTCTTCTAGGCACGAAATTATTTAGAGTCTTTGCCTTTTAAACCAAATGTGCCATGGTCGAGGTTATTTCCAAATGCGGACGCTTTGGCTTTGGATTTACTTGGTAAAATGTTAACGTTCAACCCGCACAAACGAATTCCGGTAGAGGAAGCGCTTGCACATCCATATTTAGAGCAGTATTATGATCCTGGCGATGAGGTAAACTTAACGCTTCAATGATAAGATAACGGCTTATCTTTATATAAAGCTAATTATATATGTTTTACATTGTAGCCTGTTGCAGAAGTACCATTTCGCATTAATATGGAAAATGATGATATATCGCGGGACGCTTTGAAATCGTTAATCTTTGAAGAAACGTTGAAATTTAAAGAACGCCAACCAGAACAGGCGCTATAAAAACAATTATTAAAAAATAAAAAATCGCATCTTTAGTCATTTGTTTTATTATGATTTTCTTTTCTTGTAATATGGTACTTTATAGAATACAGTTTCTCATACCATAATTACTAAACTATACTAACGTATATAAAATTTGTCTGTCTATGAACAATGCCCTTTATTCTACATAGTTACTTAGGTAAATCCATCACAAATAATTAAATACCTCAAAGAAGTCAACACGAAGTTTTTAAATATTTTAATTTAAAAATCTTTAGTTACTTATTTTTAAATTTGTTTTTGGTTTTTTTTTATAAGAGTCTCTAAGGTTATCTTTTGTGTGTCGATGATATGCATCCCACTAAATACAGTTTTATGTTGTAAGAGATCAATGTTAAATGTAATTTATTAGAAGCAAAGCGGTAGTAGCAAAGGGAATTTTCTTAATGAAGAATCAATTTTTGAACGAAGCGTACCTTCTATGACTGCGTTATAGTTTTCCGATGTTATTAAGTATTTTATGTTTGTTTCAGCTGTTTATAACTGATTATGGAAGTATCTCAAAGAATTATGTTTGTATGGTTTGGTGATGCTGTATAGCTTACTGCACATGTAAGACGTGCTGTTTGAAATAATTAGTAAGAAAGCTTACTGCTTTCTGTATGAATAATTAAGCAAAAATTATCTAAATTTTTTAGCAAACATCTTAAAGTTAATTAAAAACACATTTCTTTGATTTGATTTACTTAACAGGAAACTAAATAAATACATAAGTAGATTTTTAAATATCCAACTCAATACAGTATATCTAAAAACTTTCGTAGACGATTTAATTTTCATCTGATCCAATCAATATTTTTTTTAAAAGTGTTGTCGTAAATCAAAATAAAATTTGGTGTAAGGTGTATGTAATTGAAAGGTAGTTTCGGGCACCTCAGAAACGGTATTTATTTATCGTTAAAGAAACCAGAAAGCAAAAAAAAAACATAATCATAAAGATCAATTCATTACAACTTTCTAGTTGTATATTGCACGTAAACTTATTCAAGTGAAGTTTATTCTATGTGTTTACTGTGTGACATATGAATCTAAATTACTCAAGTTTTCAAACTATTAGGATATAAATAACACACCTATATTTTTTTGTCGTTTACAAATTACAATTTTGAAACTTCAATGTAAAAACAAAACACACATTTTCATCCTTAATTAAGTGTCGCGTGATTTGAAAATTCTCAAAACTAATATTATAAGTATAATATATAATATATAGATTTATTGAAATACAACATATTTGTATATGGTCAATCGACCTAAATAACAACTAATGTATGTGCATACGGGCATTTTCAGTCCAATCGAATATGTTCAATGCAAAACCTTTTACAACTTCTATTTTAATGCATTAATTGTCTGTTGTGTGTATACGTCTACAAGAAGGAACATCTATTACATTTTAGATCTTATAATTTATGTAAGTTATTTTTTGAGTACACAGGCAATTTATTCTCAAAATCTCTGTCTTATACTACAATTAAATTGTTTCAAATATTTAAATCAGAGATCAAAATAAAAATTCTTCTAAAAGATCTACAACCTATTGTCCACAAAATTTATTTGGTCATATCGAATATCGCTATTTAATATATTGTTTTTAATATATGAAGTCCTCAATACACTAGGTAAGCAGAGTTTGCTCTGGAAAAATTTTGTGAAAAACTTTCGTCTTGTAGGTGATAATTTGAAAATTAATAAAAACTCATAAACATAAAAATTGTATTCCTTTTCAGATTAAAATTAAGAATATGTTATGTTTTTCTATTTTTGCGTGTGCAAAAAAACAACATAAAAATTGAAGAATCTTGTCTTGACTGTTTCATTCCATGTATTAGCTAACTTTTAATATGATGTCCAAAAAGTAAACTGATTTTTGTTATTATATATATAAATAATTAAGTCAGATTATCTCGTGTGTAATGCCCATATGTACATTGTAAACACAATATAATCAAACATTTATTTGAAACATTTGACTTAATATCTTGAAGACTTTATGGAACTTTAATATGTATATGAATGTTTGTTCTCAATTTGCATAACATTCAAATCTTAAAAAAATTATTTTATTATTTCACAAGAACAATAGAACTTTGTTATAATAAATATATAAAACCTTGATGATGATAATGATGGAATATAGTAAATGTGTTAGGACTGTTTGACTTATAAAGGAGAAGCATTTAATTTGATATGCATACTTCCGTATATGCACTAATATAAACAAGTTAAATTAAATATCTTTCCTTTTACATTTAAAACAGGAAAATTTTCATTGGCCATAAAATAAATTGATATATGTATTTACAGCTACGATTGCTTCAATGTATGCATTTCAAATAAACAATTTACTTTATTGAAAATGCACTATAAACAAAGGTTTTAATTTTTTGTAAGCATTGTTAATAAATCTCTAATCTTTGTATGTTGAAATTTTGAATAATTAAAAAGTAATTATCATGTCTGATTTCAAAAGTTCATTTTTTATCTACTGTAAAGAGCCCTCGGCTTATCTCGAACTTAAGCAGGGTTGAACTCAGTCGGCTAAGAGCTCGTGACAACAATATTTGTATTTGTAGGAACCAGTAACTATCGTACTGTTTAGTGGTATTTGAATTTGTATATATGTACAATATATACATATCTGTATATGTACGAGTAAGATTACCCTGCCTGAGGTACTTCTGCTATCCGCAAAGACGCGCCTCTTAATTGTAAACCTCCTCTCAGGATCTTCGAGGATTGTGTTCAAGGGCACTCCGACTGTAACAGTTATCTATTCTCTTCTTATTGGAAAGTACTCGCTCTGCACACTCCTAGATTTTGCCAGGACACACGCAGTATTCTCCTGCGGGTCGCAGAAGTACCTCATCACTGCGCTGCTCTCCTATGGCTGAATTTGCTGTATGCTACCGCTTTAAGCTAATGGTTTCGAAGGGTTATTGGGTAAGTGACGCGAATGTGTGGGAGCGAAAGAGACCTGCTCTCTGACCCATATATATATATATATATATATACATAATATTTTAATACCATTTTTTCGAGCTGAACATTTAACAATTCGGTGGTTACATAATGTTCCAAATACCGCGTGAAGTTGCCAAAAATTTATTTAGCTTTTAAAGCACAAATAATTATAATTTGTATTATCAATTTTAAATCAATTATTTTACATATTTAGAGACGAAAAGAAACAATTGAGAGGAGTAAGAAATCTGCGATCAAAATGTGCTATGTTATTGTACTTTAAGCAGAGGAGCAACTTCTATGCGAGGAGGAATATGAATTTACGATTTTGTATCGATTTTAAGGTTTTATTTCTTAAATGAAACTAAGAATAATCCCTAATATATTAATGTTGATAACATTTCCCCTGTCTGTTAAGTATATAAGAAAAAATTAATTGGTTGTTAGGTTTTACTCTGCTATACTCACATTTGTATACTTTTTTTTATTTTTATTTTTATACCATTCGAACAATAGAATGAATGAATGAAAAAAGTAGTCACGCTGAAAATACAATATGTTTAAATTTAGGGTATATAATAGTCGAACATCTTAGAGCCCCCTTAACAACAAGAAATATATAACAAAATCCTTACAAACATTTGAAAAAAGTAAACCCATTCGTAACGCTTAGCAACCTTAAACGTATGTATATCATGTTTTATTGTCAAACATAACACAATATTACACAACTGAAGCGCATTATACGAAATATATTTTGAAAATATACATATTTATCGAAAATAAAGTCTTACAATGTCTGAAAACGAAGATTTCGAGTCCTGTGGCTTTGCAAATATCACGGAGCAGGTACAACAGCCAGTACTGGAGCCCGAAGAGATGGGAATACTTCCGCCCAACCATCCGTTACTGCGAAGGTTTCAACTCTCTTTGAGGGAACATCTTTTGCGTACAAAGAACAAGCTTGAAAATGAGATAACAGATATTAAGTATCATGTTAAGGCCAAAGAGGAACGCCGGGAAGAACAAGGATTGGCATTGTATGATATGCAAAATAAAATTGCATATCAGGAGCAACAAATAAAAGAAATATCTGCACAAATTGATGAGCATATCGAAAAACGACAACAAGAAGAAGCAGCTGTTGAAATTCTTAAGAAGGAATATGACGAGAAAATCAAATTGACAAGAACTCAAAAATCGTTATACCATACCCGAATGATGGAACTAGAAGATCTGCAAAGTTTGGGCAGTAATATAAAAAATTGGGCATATGAAGTCGAAGATGAAGTTAAAAATGCAAAGCGGATAGTTAGCCGCGATGCTCAACTGCAAAAGCAGCTGTCAGAGGAAAAAAGAAAGTCGGACATACTTTTTTATCGACTCGATATGGAAGTAAAGAAAAAAGAAGCCGAGTTGCAATCAATTTCGGAAGATGAAGTTGCAATTAAAGAGGTCGTTAATGTCCTTAATATGAGTATTGCCGATGCTAATACTGACTTGGAGGCTTTACAAAATGAGCATAAAAGGCTAATTCAGGCCTGGAGTGAAGTCATCATAGCAATTCAACTAAGAGATAAAATTCTATTTCAAGTTCAGGATAATATACGGTATGTATTATAACTAAATAGTATTGACTAGCTTTAGTAATAAATTCAATTAAAAAAGCAAACAAAAAGAGTCAATAAAACTGAATTCAAATGGAATTGAGGCAGTAAAAAAGCAAATTTCGAGAGAAATGGAGCTCAACAAAAAGCTGGAATCCTTTAAGCAACGATTGGCCGATGATATGAGTAATCTAAGTAGAGAATGTAAGTTAATACGTTTAAACAAACTCAATAAAGTTATTAATTTATATTAATTTATAGGCCAAAATGAAGTTGAAGCTTTACTTGCTCTGCAAACCAAGCTAGACGAGTTTCCAGATTTTCTGGCACGCACCGAAACGGATTTACAAGAAGCAACTCGCGAAGGAAATAAATTAATATCAGAAATGCGTAGGCTGGATCTGGTCCTAGACAAAAATCACCAAAAGAAATTTCGAACTGAGGAAGCCATCTTGAAGTTAGCTCAGGATCAACTTATCACTGATAAAGCTAGTGCATATCGCTTAAAATTATTGAATAAGGCGCAGGAGCATCGCCGAAATGTTGATATTTCTTTGTCGAAAGTACAAAACCAATTGGCATTGGCAATGCTCGATGTGGAGAAATTGCGAAGCGTATTGTTTAATACAAAGAAAGAAAATGACAAGATTCAAGATAATTTAACTAAAGCTGAAGAAAAATCAAATAGTTTGGATGAAGAACTAAAGAAAATACAAAATAAAATTGAAATCAAAATGCAGCGATTCGAAAAGATAAACAGTCAAATTGAAGAGATTCACAACGCCCATGGTGACGAAACTGGGAATCCAACTGAACTTAAGGTAAGATTGATTGATATTGTTTTTTGACCCACTTCAACATAGTCTAAATTTGAGAACGAAAACAGAGCGCCTAAAGTGCTTTTCTTTTGCCAGAAACCATTCGAAATGGCAGTTTAAGCTACAATAGATTTATTAAAATATATATAAAAGGCAGAAGATGGAGTGCAGATCTTAACCAAAAGCAACAGCACAGGCAATATAGTCCTATTCATCAGTCAGTTTAAATCTCGTCCGTAATATGTTTCTAAATTTGTTTCCTTACAACAAATCTTAGGGATATATTAAAAAATGTTAACAAAAGTTTTTTTTCTGTTGTAAGCCGTTCTAATATCGGACTTAGCTGGCTTGGCTTAAGAATGAGATTAGGTCGTGTGCTATTAAGTTACCAATTGGTTCAAATTATTTGGTACATAAACAATATATATTTTAATTGTTTTTATCATTCAATAAAATTCAAATTTATTTCATAGATAAAGCAAATAGAAAAATCTATACACGTGGGCGAGCACCAAATCAGAGAGCATCAACAATTTTGGATAATGCTTCAAAATCATTATGTGAATTTGACCCATAAAAGAAGCGATCAATTACATGAAATTCAGGTGACTAGAAAACGTAAGTATCAAACTAAACTATTAAGTTATAGTAATAATAACCATCTTTGATATCCATCAAAGCGAAGAGATATTTGCTAAGTTGTATGTAACACGAAGAAGAATCGTGGCAGACTCCAAAAAGCTTACATGAAAAGGGTTAGCAGCAATGTCAATGTAGCCATGCCCTTCTGTTTAGGCCGTGTCCGCATTTATTTCCGAAATTACCATTTTTGATCTTCATGAAAAATTAACATCGATGTTAAACGGGCATTATACAAATCGGCTATGACGAATAGCACATACCTTTATTTTCACCTTGAACCCATTGAAATTGGAGTTTCAATTGTTTTGTGAAAACGGCCTCATAGAGTATAAATATTCTTGATCAGGCCAACGAGCCATGTCTGTCTTTCCACCATGTCCGTCTAGACCACTAAAGCTAACGTATATTCCTGTATACCATATGTAGTATGAATTTATATTTCCGATGGATAAATCCGTAATGGATAAATCAGAAATTTGAATTTAAAAACTGCATCTAGACCAAATATTATTTGCTTTAACTTATATTTTCAGAGTTATCAATCATAAAGCAAAAATCACTGAAGGTGGACCAAGAATTAGAAATATCTGAAAATAAGGCAAGAGATCTAAGACTGGATATTCAGAAGTATACCTCAAAGTTGGAGCTTCTCAATGAGAAAATATATACCAAACGAAAAACTCATGATGTCGAAGAAAGCGAATACGAGCAGGAGCAGTTTGAACTTAGCCAAAAACTAAAGGTAAATCTTCCAGAATTTTAGATTAAATTTGACCAAGGATATTTTCAGGACACCGAGATGAGTACATTAAAACTTGAAAAAGATATAAATGAACTGTTAAATGAAATTGAGCTAAGCAAGGACCTGGTACTCGATAGCCACAGAGAAGCTCTATCGTGGGAAACAAAGCACAAATTAATTGAGGAAACAATTGACTGGACTAAAACAGAGCGCTCATTGAATGGTGAAATTGGAGCAATGAAAATTGAAATTCACAGAATGACAATTCGCTTCAATCAATTAAAACGCGCCCAGGAAAAATTGGTTCAAGATTTGGAGCATTGTGTGATGCATCGTGAACAAATTTTCGTGCATGCATCAGTCAAAGAACACGTTGATGCAAAAAAAAAGAAATATAAGAACGCATCTCAGAGCCAAATAAAGCTTGAGGAAGTTCGCAACAAATCAAAGGCTATTCAAAATGAAATAACATTCCTTTCAGAAAAGCGCATTGTAGATAACGTCCATAATATTGAGCGTATGGTCTATATTTTGCGAAAAAATCAAAATGATCTAAAAGAAGTTTCAAGTAAAGATGTCTCTATTCGAGCTCAAATTGAGGATGCTCTTCTATCAAAACATTCTAATCTGGAGCAAATAATTCGAAAACAAAATCGAGCTAAAGCATTTCGCAAACTAAGTCTAATGAAAGGACAACATAAAATTGTTAGATCAGAGAGCACCATTGAGCAACAATTACAAGCGCAAATCGAAATGAATGATACTCTAATGGAAATTGTTCAGACCTTAACTAATGATTATCCTGACAAAAAGCCGTTTTTTTCAAAACTCTTTAATTTCTTAAAAGAATGAAAATGTTCAAATTATAAGCAATTTAAAAGATAGTTTTATTGCATGAACTAAAAAATAATTAAATCAATTTGGAATGATATCGAGGTTTTTATTTATTCATTTTTTGACACACAAAACTCTTCCCAAAATCAGATAATAACATACATGGAAGTAGTGTGTCCCAAGGGTGACAAACATAATTGTATGCATTGAAAGACTCAAAGAATACGTTTCCCATAAGCATTTCCTTTAAAAATTTCCCACGTTCTTAATTCTTCTGCCCCAGATCTTTTTTGATTACACTGTTAGTCTTAATTTATTCATTTTAAATTTGAACAACGCTCACTGCTTTAGCCCTATTAAAGCCACTACGCATTATAATAATCAAGGGAAAAACTTATGACAGGTATACACGGGGTTAACCGACTAAGGAGGTACTCTGAATCCAGTCTTACCTGCGTTGTAAAATATGCTCAACATAAACTTAAAAATTTGGAGTGCTTTGATATATATTTTCTGTAATTCTATATAAAAAAGAGAAAGATCTCACATTAAAGATTTTGTTAGAAATTGAGTTGAATTATGACGAAATTATTATAAGAGAGTTTTTAAAAATTGATAAATATAATATAAAACGCTTTCATTTCAAACATAGTGAAAATAAAAATTAATCTGGTATATACAACTCCAAATTGATTGAAAAACTTACAACACTTAATTCTAAAATTCTACCTTGAATTGTAATATTCGAATTACCATGCAGACATATAGGAGGGAACTTCCTCCACTTTACATAGCTTTGGCAACAATGTACCTACGTCGGTATAGTAAGGATGGCAACGCTTTTGAATTACTTGTTCCTTCCGCTGATAGGATGATGGTATAGGGATGAAGCCCCTCTGAATCACTTCTCCAGTAACTATCGAGTAAATGTAATCATTACCAAGTGAAATGTCTATAGACGCGTTGATATTCCATGCCACTTTAATTGCTTACATACACTAGGGCCGTTGGCAGTGTACCTCTCCTCTGTCCGTCTGTTGACAATTGTCCGAATGAAATTAGATGCTGTGTTCGATGATTAGTTGTGATCAACTAAATCAACTAAATATGTCCAATATAGCCAACAATCATACATTGTAAGTTATTTTATAATTAGCGTTTGCCAAAAGCAAGTGTTGAAAGAGAGCCGCAGCATTTTCCCTAAGACCTGATTTCATGTGGTGCGATTTCTGAATATTTTGTATAGCTACCCTGCTGTAAACGTTACTGTTTTTGAGTCCTTTACGCGCATGCTGTTCCTTGTAATCTCTTTCAAATTGTATTGGGTCCACATAAACATATTTTTCTCTAGCTTTTGCATCTGCAAAAGTGCTTTTTTCGAAACAATAAATAATAATTTAATAAAATAATAAAAAATAATTTTTACGTTTATTTTGCATAAGAAGGGGCTTCAGAGCATAATATTTTTGTGAAAATGTACGTAACAGTCTGAAAGAGGCGAAGTAATAATCCCCATAATCCCCTACGAGCTCAATCGACCTAGATATGACCATCCGTACGAATATCGTATATCGTAAGAAATACGAGATCTCTTAAGCCACAAAAACTAGAGACAGCGAAATTTTTCGATAGCTCATTTCATTGTTATCGGTAAGAACCGAAAATTACCTTGCGTATGTATTTGCGTGCATGTGCTCTTTGTAATGTATGCATTAAATAAGCTTATAATGATTGGAAAATCATGTACTCACAAAGTGCAGGGTATAACATAGACGTACAAAACTTTCATTGAGTGTAAATGATTTACGTCTGATTAAAATTACTAGAGGGACCTTAAGAACCTCAAGAGAGCCATGCTTCCATCTGTCGGTTAAGCGGAAAATCAGTGATGAGGACCGCATTTACTCCGCAGCTCAGGCAGTCATTCGAATACCAAATACCATGAAGCCGTCTTATAATTTATCTAAAAATATTCTTAACACCACAAGTTATGTATAAATGTAATACCTCGGTGCCACCACGATCATCAGTTCAAAGACCGGATCAGGGACTGAAACCTTTGGGTTAGGCATTGATCACAGGCCAACAGTACCGAAGTAAACGTATAAGATAAATACTATAAGATTCAATATTAATATTCCGATCTCATTGGGGAAATTGAAAGAATGTTCCATAGATTGGGCAACAACAATCCCTTAAAGAAAAGGGATATCGACAAAGCATCTTAGTGCAATAACGGTATTCATAAAATTGACTGTCAGGTAAAGAGTTGTCCCTTAGGGGATTTGTTCAAGATCATAATAAAACCGTTTGATCTAAAATTTTGGAATACGTCTTTACACTTTTATCTAAAATGTGTAACTTCAAACAACTCTTAAATACCCAAAGCAAATCATCTTCGTAAACTTTGTGGTATCAAAAAAGGAGCTTTGTACGAAAAGATACATTTTTTAAGATTGCTTCGAATATTTAGGTGTTGCATTTTCGTCTGAAGGAGGTAAAGTGAATCTGTTCAGTTATTATTTGAAATTTATTTCAACAAGAGGTTCAAACCTTCTCGAGAGAAAAATATAGAAAAATCATGAAAGAAGTTACCATTCTCATGCAACATTTTAACATTTTCATTACAATTTGTGGAAAGGGAAAAACGCTTTTATAATCATCAAATATACTTTCTCAATATACTCACACATACAATCATTGGAATCGACACTTCAGTAAACTTTACTTTAAATTACATTAAGACCTATCAAACAGCAGGTTGAAATCGCGTAGACGAAAATTATTAAAATTACTGAAACTGCCTCTTTAATTTTAAATTTCGCACAAAGATTACCAGTTACCAGTTTATTATCCATCACCCTACTGTACAACAAAAATGCACTTGATGTCATAAAATACAGTTGCTAATGAAGTCAAAATAAAAGAAAATAGAAAATAAATAATATAATAAGAAGCAAATGCACACGCTTACACGCAATTTTAACATTTATAAAATATAATAAAGAAATCATTAGGTATTTTAGTTATAGCATCAATTATCGATATATTAAATATTGCTTTAGATAATATCCACACTGTTAAGCTGGAGAGCGCATGCGCGGTTTATTAGTTGCGTTTTTTATTCGTGTGAATCAAATTGTTGAACAAAGTTTTTCATTAACATTCTTTAGTATGATATGTGAAATATTTCTACTTATTCGTTAAGATTCATCTTGTGTATGCACGTAATTGCTGAGATAAAGTGGATTAAGGCAAATTATATATAATACAAAAGAGTTACAAAATAAAGTTTATGTTATATATATTATGTATATTTATATATATATATATATATAAACATATATTTTTGAAAACGTGTGTTCACAGAAACAAATGTGTATATAGTAATAATATAATTGGAAAACTGCCAGATTGATATAATGAGATCTGTAGGATATAATTGTATGGACAAATAAAGTTTTCATTTGATATAATAATCAAGCACACTAAATAGTTTCATTCAGACAATAATGTATTTTGTAGTAATTAATTGTTCGGCTTACTGCCTCCAGAAGCTGTCAAAGTAAATGTTTATTTTTTTATTTACGAAATCTGAATCTTATTGCATCATGTCGCAAAGTCCGAATGAAATCCAATCAGCTCCCTAAGTAAAGATACATCATGCATGTAGCAAATACATACAAATATAGAGTTAAGTCTCATTTGCTATATTCATACAAGGGCACCTTGAGGCACTCCAAAAAATAACATCAGCAATATAACAAGTGCTAAATAAGTAAATAGTATAATTAATAGAACAACAAATCAATTAAGTGATCGGCATTAGTTCTTAATATAGTTTTGTTAAGTTGACCGGTTTCGGCTGGAAGTTATATAGTGAATTCAACAAAATTGCCGAAATTTGTATTGTAAATAATAAATAGCATCTAGAAAACTTAACTGAAGCTATTTCAAAGGCTATTCTGCAGTAATAGAGTGCGCTGAGTAAGCAATAAACTTATTGCTTGGGTGCAGCGCGAAAGCGAACCTGTTATCATGTTCTCAGCTCCGCGGCCGCCAGTAATTTGTATATAAAGCTTATACGTACACAAATGAAGATTGATATTGAAAAACGTTTTCAAACTTAAGTTTTTTTCATCATATCTCCTAGGTTTTAAGAACATGAATAATCTTATTTTTCCATTTATTATTTGATGGTATTAAGTATAGATTAACTTCGTGGGAAGTCCAAAATAAAGATATTGACTTTTTAATAAACGTAATCAAGTGTTTTGCATTCAGCATATTATCAAATTATAATATATATAAATATATATTATAAAAATATATAAATTATAATTATTATTATTTATTTTTTAGTGATATCTTTATAATATGGATAACATGGAAATATCAACTGAACCATCTTTTCTTGAAGTCGAGCTTCCACAAACGCTTCTTGAGTCACCATCAGTTTCCACTTTTTTACCAGATGAAGAAGCCTCTATATGTCCTTTGCTTTCCAGCAACAGCGCTTTAGGCCAAAGTTTATTATCTCACCCATTATGCCCAAATATTGTTGCAAGTGATATGACCTCATCTAATATAAGTAATACAGACTGTAAAGCTGATACAAGTTCTTCTGGAAGTAGTACAGGCATCGCAATGGATGCAATAGAGGCGACGTCAAGCCTTTTTAACACAGTCAACTATCATCATCTACAAAACAACAACATTACAACTCAGGTAATTAGGACCATGTATCAGTAAGAATCTTGTATAATCTGATTTTGACTCTTTTTTTTATGGAATGGGAATTGGAAATCAGGGTATAATGGTTTTGTTAAAATGTATGATCAAAGCGACGAGCTGAGTTAATCTAGGAATGTCCGTGTGTCCCTCCGTGTAACCGCAGTAGTCTTGTATTGCTTAAAAGCTAGAGACTTAAAGATTTGAAATGTATACTCGTGTAAACCATATGCAGTATAAGTTTATCATTTTTTAGATTACTACACCAGAACATATTAAAGTTTCTATACAGTTTTTCTTATATTATATTTTTTGACACGATTGTCTTTTATTTATATAATTTTTAATCTTAAGTGTCCAATTTGCCTTTAACTATAAATCAGTAAAAGATGTAGTTTGCTTACAAAACTATATATTTCAAATGCTGTATTAAAATATATAGTGTTTCCCTTTTTGCCAAATTGTGCGTGTACCTAAAAAACTAACATTTTTAATTAATGGAATATCGACATTGTAAAAATGTATGCTTCAAAATCGAATTTCAATTTTCCATTAACTGAAAAATTCCTAAAAGAACGAATAGCACAGTGTTAAGCGCATTTTCATGTGGATAAATTACTAGTTTTTATTCATTGTATTCTTCTTGCCAGGATGCCAGCAGTCACTGCTTGAAAGGAAGTAGAAGTCAATCAAATGACACTCCATCTTTTGTATCTTGGAAATGGCCACTAATTAGAAAATGTACATTTTTCTTGTTTGTTTCTGTAATTTTGGCAATATGCTCAATAGTGGTTGCTACCATTGTCAGTATGCCAAGAACATGTAATCCAAAGTAAGTAAAATATATTAATATATATTGATTAATATATATAATATTAAGTAAAAACAATTGTCTTCTATTTTTATTTAGAACTGCTTGGTACCGAGGAAGCGTTCTCTATGAAATTGATCCGGCTTTCTTTAAAGACACTGATAATGATGGAATTGGCGATATTAATGGAATAATAAACGGAATAGATTATTTGGCGAATTTAGAAATATCTGGAGTGCGACTCAACTCTATTTTTCCATCTGACGTTCATTATGATAGCCATATTAATGGAACATCGATAAATATAATAAGACCCGAACTAGGAAACCTGAGTAGTGTAAGAAATTTAGCAAACCTCTTACACTTACACAATATGAATCTTTTATTAGATTTGCCGCTGCAACACGTGATTGCTGCTCGAAGAAATGCTGAAGCTCTTGATGTTATTTCTAAATCGATTCTACATTGGATTGATCAGGGAGTTAATGGGTTTTATTTAAAGGGACTTGAAACGTCTACAAATACAGAAGTACTCTTAACGTTTCTGTCAGCTTGGAAACGTATACTCGGGCCAAATAGAGTACTTATTGTGGGAGAAAATCTTTTAAAAAATAAATCAAAACCAGAACTATCTGCTATGTTGGAGCATATCGATTTGGTTGACTTTGTTTTAGATATTGAAAATGATTCCCAAAAATTTAAAAATTACACAGATTATATTTTGTCGGAAATGCCAATTGGTGACGACAGAACTTGGGTTCACTGGTCGATCGGAGGAAAAAACTTGAATAGGCTTAATATGAGTCAACCTATTATATCGAAAATGTTTGCCGCAACAATTATGCAGCTCATTTTGCCGGGGACACCAAATATAATGCATGGAAATGAAATCGCCATTGCTCAGAGCAAAAATCACAACTATTCAGGACAGCTGACTCAACTTTTGGCTGACCAATTGTATACTTTACCGAATCAAGCGATGAATATGAAATCACTGGAGAAACTAAAAATAGTACATAGGATGATAGCGTTACGCGAACATTCACCATCAATTTACAAAAGAGTTATTTGCAAAGCTAACAAGAATAAGTCAAACACTCATATACTGACACACAGCAGTGCCGACATTCTGATAATAGTGCGAAATTATCCACGTAAAAATTCATTTGTATCAATAACAAATTTCGGAAATACTAAAGTTCATTTAGATTTAACATCAAAGTTTTATAGTGGAACGCAAATGCTTGTTATTGGATCAAATGATAAAATATATTTTAAGCAACTTTTAGTTGATGCATTTAACACGATTGTAGTCAAATTGGATAAGTAGCAGCTATAATTGGAAATGAGATATATTATTTTTAAAATTATGTATGTTATTGAATTGATAAAAAAATAAATTGTTGCCCATTAAACTGATACTACCACAATTAAACAAATTATAAAATCTGCACAGTGCCCGATCCGACACAGTTTAAGTACAGCTCCTTGACAATTTTTTCCGAAACTTAGTCTGTTAGCAGAATGATTTAAAGTTACTCTACAGTGTAATGACAGGTAAGTTGTATAAGGTTCACTGACCCATTAAAAAGGGTAAGCTGGGGTATAATGGGCTTGTTAAAATATATGTACGTGGTAGAATAAGTGTTGAAGACCCCATAAAGTATATATATTCTTAGCCAGAAAGACACGATAAGTCCATTTAGCCCTATATGAACTTGTGGATTGCAGATCATATAACAACTCGCACTGCTTTACTCTAGCTCGATTCTTCAACATTTGCGCTTATATTTAGACTATATTTTATATATATTTAAGGTGTTCTGAATATCCATTTTCAATGCTCCCAACCCATTAGTAGCGTTGGTAGAGACAATGCCCTTTGACAACGGCATCAATTCACTGCTTTAATAAAAGTTATTCAACAATTAATTTCCAATATGTGTTTGTAAATGCGCATGGGTTGCTTGCAATGTTTGTATAAAATAATTGTAGAATGAGTGGAATATCACCAATTCGGAGGTTTCAACAAATCTCCTAGTCGTTCTGTTCCGACTATAGCACTCTAACTTGTTTTTTTTCACAAACTGAAGACAAGTCTGTAGAGGTAAAACGCGTTGGCTATGAAATGTAGATTCCCTTCATTCCATTCTGGTAAGTAAGTTTTTCTTCTTCCTTTTTTTGTCTGCTAGTCCACGCTATGGAAAATATTTATAAATGCAGATACACGACTGGAGTTTTCTCCCTTGTTTGTTGACCATATTTGATTGTGTAGTTTAAAACTAGTTCGAATAATGCGGGTAGCATGATTTTAGTCGTCGAAAATGCTTGAGTTTATGTGAAATACATACATATAGACGTGCATCGAACTTCGTGAATGTAAGTAGGTATAAGTATATTTAAAAACGCAGATCGGTCAAGGTTCGAGGTACCAAATACTCAACAACCCACAACTAGAGCTTGGTTACTAGTTTAATTGTGATCTTATAATTGGTTCCTGTAATAGTTACACAGATTTTGAATATTTTGGATTTTGAATTTCTCGCCCCTTTCAATTTAAATCGTAAAAACGTAGACTTCCGTCTTAGCTAATGCACAAAGTTTAATGCCACAATCTCTTCCTGAAAACTTTTTAAGTTCATTTAAGAGAATAGTTGTTCAATGTTAAATTCCCACAATAATGTTCGTACTGTAGTACCACAGAGCAGAACTGAGCAGAACTATTATTAAAGTCGTCTGTGGATGTCTGTATACTTGTTTTTCATACAGTTTTGCTGATATTAGAGTAAGCCCACGTCAGGCGGTAACGACGGAGAGCAATCGTGATGCGTTACGCCCTTCACGTAACCAGGTAAAATATGTGTTTCCGAGGAGGAATAAAACAATGACCACAACATGACAAATTTTACGGTTTCTACTCATAAACTTAGAAGAGGTAAGTCAGTAGACGCGGTCAACAGTTGCCAGTTGGTTTCTGGTTATAGTTGTTGTTCGAGTTACAGTTATATAGATTTTCTCGTTTCACCACGTCCCCAATGGGCATAGGAATTTCTACAATTCATATATTTTAAGTCTCTAGCTTAGAACGGCGAAATATTTTGATTTCACACCGGCTGACTGAGTATGCACTTTTCACTTCGCGAAATCACAGAAATCCACATGCATGCATAATTACGGCTCAACGTGGGCTGCGCTATGGACTGTAATGTGTGAAATTAGTTAAGAATAGCCAAGTCACTACTATATATCTAAAATAAAAAAAAAACAAATATTTATAATCTGGGTTTCATTATTGAATATGAATATGGATATACAAACTCTATTGCCGGTTGTAAATACCGAGATATATTTTAAAGTCTGTCAAGTTCATGGCTTCAATAACAGAGTAAAAATTTGCAATCTGTTCACAGGAAGGGCACTTTTTGCGAATAGTCAATAATTGACTTAGGGACTAAACTTTTAGGATTATTCAATATTATATGTTAATGTTATGTCAAAAGGATCAGAGGGACAGCATTCAATTATTACGCATTATTGAAAGACTTTCTATGCAAATTACAAATATTCCGCAAACTGAGGTATACTTAATAGGAATTTATACGACGAGGTTATTAGTCTTAAGAATATATTCATATACTCAATACCCTTTATTTACTTAATTATAAATCTAAAATAATTCAGTTTATTACTAAATAAAATATAATTTATTTATTTATATTATATTTTAAATAAAACAAACAAAACAAGTCAAATAGCAATACATACACGTATGACCTAGATGTAAAATTTCTAATCACCATTATTATCTTATAATATAAATAAATAAAGACAACACTTTCGGAAGTCCGAATCTTAAATAGTTAAGTCGCTTGTAAATTTAAAAATGACTCAGCTTTTGCTCAATTATTATACATTAAAATAAATATTTTGTTCGCAACGAAAAACGAAGATGACTAATAAAGTTTAATTCTATCATAGTCTGTATTTAAAATACGTGTAAGACTTATAAAAATAAAAAATTCTGTGAACTGTTTGCCAAATTTTTTTTTACAATACCCTAGATTTATTTAAAATACTTGGGGACAAATTGAATTGAGTAGCTACGGCATTAGGATCTTCACATTTAGTGCAGGAGTATATCTGTATGAGCGCCAGGCAGTTCACTTTATAATAAGCTGATTGCATTTACGATTGTTAATTGATTTAACTTTATGGATTCCAAAACTAAATGAGAAGTTAAGATATAAAATTAAAATTCAATTTCAATTGATTCAACAGTTTCGTAAAACGACTTAGTCTATGATTTTTTTATTTTTTATATTTAACAAAAAGTTTTTCTCAGCGGTCAATGAGTGAGTATTATGTGCACAACAAAATAGAACGGTCCAATCTAACAGACCAAATATGTATATATGTTATTAAAGAGGTTACTGAAAGCAGTATAAATAGTCTTCTGTTAAAACCACTGCCATATACTAATTTTATTATTGTATACTATTAAATACATATATATATATATATATATATATATGTATATATGTATATATATATATATATATATATATATATATATATATATATATATATATATATATATATTTATATAAATATATATATAGATTTAGGAAGGACTAAAAAAGGAAGCATGTAATTATACCAACGCGAACGCGGCTCTTTGGGTTGTATATAAGATTAAGATTTTACAAAATATTTGAGAAAAAATTTACAATATACACAATACAACCATCGATCAAAGGATATTTTGTGTAACTTTAAATCTTGTGGCATAAGTACTACATTATATTTTTTTAAGTATAAAGCAATTGATGAGCCATTTACGATTTTTAGATGTCCTTCGTTGGTAAACAACCAGTGTATCTAATTATAATGGTATAACAGTTCAAGTTTTGTGTAATATTATAATAATTAGCCTACTTTATTTACATTGCCAAGGTTTTCTATTATTTTTAACACTGCTACTCAGCAGGTACCATATTTTGCTCCAAGTCTGGCTTAGTGTCATCTGGATCCAAGCTCAAGCATTCTGCAAAGTAATGCTCCATTGAAGAATACACATGCTCTAGCACTCCATTTAAATCATGACCTTCGTCAGCATAAGTCTGTAAATACAAGTAAGCATTATTTTTGGAGTAAAACATATAGATTTACAAAATTATACCTGATATCGATATAATATATTTGCTTCTGTTAATGATTTAGCTAATTGAACACCATGTACGTAGGGTGCTGTAGAGTCTGCTAAGCCGTGGATTAAAAAAAAAGAATTTGATTTAATAAGTCGAGCACGTTGAGTTGCATCAGCTTCTACGTATCCTTTATAGTTTTCTGCAGGTAGACCTAATATGCGTTCAGTAAAGGCAGAATCTAAAATCATTTAAATTGCTTTGTAAACGAAAAACAATGAATTGGTAATAAATTTGTATATCTTACTATAATATAACCAATCTGCAATAGGGGAGATTGATATTCCACACTTAAAGACATCTTGCTGAGTTCCTAAAACCATTGACGTCACATATCCTCCATATCCCCAGCCCCAAATTCCAACTCTTGTTTCGTCCAAGAAACTTATGGTATCCAACAAATATCTTAAAATTAAGACAAATTCAAATTGTTAAAATTGCATATGACGCCTTACTCTCTTTTAGAAATTATTCTTACCTCAAAACAGATATTTGATCTTGAACTTCGACTCCTCCCAAATGACGATATAAAGACTTTTTGCTTTGACCTTTTGCTCCTCTAACATCCAAGCGCACATAAATAACATCATTTCTCGAGGACATGTATGTTCCCCAATCTATTCTAAATTTTTCGGAAACAGACTCGGAGCCCGGCCGGCCATTCCTGGAAAATATAAGAAAATAAGTAAGAGGTAAGATGAAGTCTGATAGCGTGATAATGTCATTCCCATATGTGTGTATTTGCCATAGCGTCTCTAGTATTTGAAATACGTTTTTTACTAATTTATGGGAAAGGGGGGAGTTTCTAAAACCCAAAATATATAAAATCAGTGTATTTACTACAGAACAATTTGATGTTTCCATCTTTGGCAGTATTCAATCTATGCTTAAAAACTAAATCAAATTATATTAATCTAGAGAATTGTAAGTCTCTAGACAGACTCAGCTCGTTGTCCTGATCAAGAATATATCTACTTTATGGGTTCAGGATATAACTAAATTTCATTTTTCATAACTAACAAATATTTATTAGAAAATAATTGTTAAATATTTAGTGAATGCAGTCTTTTTAAAATATTTAATAAATACATACACTT